AGAACCTTGCAGGAAGAGGGGAAACTACCTTACAATGGATTTCCTAATTTCTCCAAGGCACAGAGCAAAACATTGGTTTTGGTTGCCTACTCATATGCTTGTGTAGTGGTGTAACGCGTGCAGGGTTTGCAAACAGCAGTTGCATTATGTACGGGGTTGCAGACAGTGAGGTCAGCTCAGGATAAGCAGGTGCAGGCAGGTGGCCTGGGTGACAGCAGACAGAGAGACGCCAGCAATTAGAGAAAGAGGCAGTGATTGGCTGGCTGCAAATGCAAATGCGGAGTAGGCGCCACGGAGGCGAGAGATAGTGGCGATGAGGGGGAGAACACGTACGTGAGGCATGGGGAGGATGCCGGCTTAATGAGGGCCATCTGGGGGCACTTAATGAGGAGGGGGATAACAGGGGAACGTGTGAGGCAGAGGAGTTGAGTTGGTTGGAGTGAAGACAAGAGTGAATTCAAGAGAAGTCCGGGACCCCGCTCTCCACACCTCGTCCTCTCCAGCGGTGTTGGCTGATCCCCCGCTGGAGGCACGGGCGAGGTTGGAGGAGTGAGGGTAGACAGGCTAGCAGTAGAGAGGCTAGCGGAATCCTAAGTGTGAGTGTGCTAAGGCTAGCAGTAGAGAAGCTAGCAGAGTATATAGCAAGCTAGCGGAATCCTAAGTGTGGGTGTGATAAGGTGAGCAGCAGAGGAGCTAGCGGAGTGTATAGTGAGAGGCTAGCAGTGGAAAAGCTGGCAGAGGGCAACGTAGCAGGCTGGCGGAGCGAGAGAGAGAGAGCGAGCGGAGCGGAGCAGACGAGCAGTAAAAGAGGAGTTGCGACGGAGACGCGTGGTGTTGAACGCGAGGAGTTCTGTACAAATAAAGTGACACAAGAGAAAAGAAGAAGTTGTCCGTGTGAAATAACACCACTACATTTGTACTATTTCGATTTAAAGCTTTCGTGACTGCAGGGATTCATCTTCTTGGTTCTTTCGGTAAAGTCACGTAGAATTGAAATAAAATGATAAAAATAAAACATAATAAAATAAAAATTCCTACGATGTTTCGGCCACAACACAAGTAGCCTTCCTCAGGTGAAGAGACAGAACTGTTGGGAAGACAGCGCTTCAGTGAACACAGCCAAGCTTTGGCCGCGTCTTTTAAGCTGGGTGGGAAGAGCAGAGCGCCTTGACCAAGGAGTTTACATATCAACAGAATAATTTAGCATTGAAGTAGCTATGTTAATGTGTTGGATTAGCATGATGTTAAAGTCAGAAATTAGCATGTAACTGGGGGATTAGTATGATGTTAGTGTGAGGGATTAGCATGTAACTATGTCGAAACTATGTCGGAAAAAAGTGGCGGTTTCTTTTTTCTTTTCAACGTCAGCACCACTGTGGTTAGCACCACGGAAAATGACGAGCTTTGTTCAGACGGACGAGTCCATCTATGCTCGGAAAGGAGGAGGGGGGAGAGAAGAAACAGCAACGATGCGCTGCTCTGTCCTGTGTTGTGTTACTAATTATTGAGACTTGGTTCATCAAGGACTGCATACTGATGTACCCCCCCCCCCCCTGGTGAGACACTGCTTAACCAACACATACTTCACCTGGAATGGGACTTTCTACAACAAACTGAGGGCACCCAATGGGCTCCCCCTATCTACGGTTGTAGCCAACATTTTCATGGAGAAATATGAGACTGACGCCATCCAGACTGCCACTCTACGCCAGACCTTATGGGAGAGGTACGTGGATGACACTTTTGTCATCTGGCCACATGGCCGGCCTGCTCTAGACCAATTCCTCGACCACATCAATTCCATACACCCAGCCATCAGATTTACCATGGAAGTCGAAAAAGATGGCAAGCTACATTTTTTGGATGTCATAATTAAAAGAAGACCTGATGGTTCAATGAGCCACTCTGTCTACAGGAAAACTACCCATACGGATGCTTACTTAAAATCGGATTCCCACCACCATCTATCCCAGAAGAATTCCCTCTTCAAGACTCTATACCATAGAGCCCAATGCATCTCCGACCAGGAACACATTACCAGTGAACTCAAGCACGTACACCAAGCTCTCAAGGCTAATGGTTACTCCGACTACACAATCCGCAAAGCCATCACTCCAACCATGAAGAAGGATCCTCTTAAGGAGCCATTCAAAACCATCACCTTACCCTACATTGCGGGGGTCACAAAAAGATCTCCAAAATCCTGAATAAACACAAGATCCAGGTCCGATTCAACACAGTACATAAAATCCGTGATCTGGTTCCGTCGGTAAAAGATGTGGTTCCAGACATACAGTACCCGGGCATCTACAAACTAAGTTGCCTCTGTGGTAGCAGCTATATTGGAGAAACCAAACGACATATCTCGGACCGCATCCGTAAACATAAAGCAGACTTGAAACATGGTAGGACGAACACCTCAGCCGTGGCAGATCACTGCTATAATTCAGTAGGCTCACGTGACATTGACTTCTCCAAGATGGAGGTTTTCTGCAAGCCATCCAGTTGCCATGAGAGATTCGTTCATGAGGCCATCCACATATACAAACACAGAGACAATTTCAACCGAGAAGATGGATTCTGGCTTAGTAACCATTGGAAAGACGTTATAAACCATTTTGGTTCTTGATTGATTGTTATTTTACGGTGACTTTCAGACCGCAGTCCATTTGCTGGCACTGCCTCTTAGTACCTTTCACACGACGGTCAATGGAATGGTTTATAGCATGTTGTATAATAATAAAATAGTATAACAGTGTAATGTTTAACATAATTCATAAGGCAATATATAGTATCGTAATTGTATAGTGAATATAGAGCAGTGTGGTACACAGTAGGGTTGGAAGAATAATACATAGTGTAATATTACAAGTCTAATATTTTATAGTCTAAAGTATAGGGTAGTGTATAGTAACGCATTGTATAATTCAAGGGTGGGTTTGTCTATGGCAGTGTATATTACGGTGTATAGTCGTGTAATTTAGAAAAAAGTTTAGTTGGAGGCATATCAATATAATGCGTAATGTTAGAGCTTACATTAGGCTGTGTATACGATATTATACAATGTAGTTTAGATTGGAAGGTATAAGATTGTAATGTATAGTAGTCTAGTTTGTAGCATAGTAGTAACGCAATACAGGACAGAGCAGCGCATCGTTGCTGTTTCTTCTCTCCCCCCTCCTCTGTTCCGAGCATAGATGGACTCGTCCGTCTGAACAAAGCTCGTCGCTTTCCGTGGTGCTAACCAGAGTGGTGCTAACGTTGAAAAGAAAAAAGAAACCGCCACTTTTTTCTGACATAGTTCCGACATAGTTACATGCTAATCCCTCACACTAACATCATACTAATCCCCCATATGCATGCTAATTTCTGACTTTAATATCATGCTAATCCAACACATTAACATAGCTACTTCAATGCTAAATTATTCTGTTGATATGTAAACTCCTTAGTCAAGGCACTCTGCTCCTCCCACCCAGCTTAAAAGACGCGGCCAAAGCTTGGCTGTGGTCACTGAAGCGCTGTCTTCCCGAAAGTTCCGTCTCTTCACCTGAGGAAGGCTACTTGTGTTGTGGCCGAAACGTCGTAAGAATTTTTATTTTATTATGTTTTATTTTTATTATTTTATTTCAATTCTACGTGACTTTACCGAAAGTACCAAGAAGATACACTTGTACTCCCATACCATTTAAGTGTGGCTCAGGGCTGTGTACTGTCACTGCTCTGGTTCAGCGTATAAAGCAGGCCACTGGGAGATATCATCTGGAGATAATACTGTCGGTACACTGGTGATACACAGATCTGTGTCTCGTTCACCTTTTTCCAGGGGGTGCGTTCTCTGTCTTATCTTGACTGAGGTCACTACCTGGATGACCACTATTATTTGGGTTTGAACCCTGACAAGACAGAGGTGATAGGTGTGGGTTTGGAGAGGAAGTTGTAAGTTTGGCAAGGCCTAGTTGAAGCTCCAGTTATCAGTGGGGTTAGGCCAGCCCATATCAACTTTGAAATCTCGGAGTGATTTTTTTTATCAGTTCATGTCCATGGAAACCCGGGTCAATGTGATGGTCAGAAATGAACTTTTCCAGCTCCGATTACTCCAGATCTTGAAAACTTAATCCATGCCTTCATGCCGAGTAGCCTGGACTACGAAAACGCTATTTACTTAAGAGCTACCACTGTGCCCGCTCCGGATGCTGCAGGTACTGCAGAACGTGGTGGCACGTTTGCTCAAGTGCATGGGACGCTGAGAGTATATTATGGCCACTCTCCGTGCATTACACTGGCTTTAATTAAAGTTGCCGATAAAATACAAAGTGATCACTATCACTTTGGATAGTATATTGTGCAATTTGGGCCCTATGTAGTTGTGTAAGCATCTCTGGACACCTGCCCTAGACAGGAGTTTATTATTTAACTGCTATGGCGTGCCTATACCTTCCGAGGTTCACCGAACTCATGGTCGGAGGAAATGAGATTTTTCCATTGCTGCCCCTAAACTATGGAACTCTTTGCCTGCCTCTGGAGGTGTGGCTCAAACCGAACTTACGGCGATCTTCTAGCACTGTGGGACTTTCCTTTTGTCAAGCATTTCCCTTCTGTCCAACTTTTCCACTTCTGTTGTTTTTGCAGGTCGCCAAGATGTCAGGGGTCCTGATTTTTATTAATATCTTGTAAAGTGTGTTGTAGCCCTCATATACATTTATAGACATCAAACGCACTCCCTGTTGTGCAACCCACCTCCTACCCCCCACTGACTCTGAACAGCTCCCACAATTGTCATATCAATAATAGTGACCAGTCGGATTTCCTCTCAGTCATGAACTCTATGAGAACTCAGAAAAATAACTTTTCAAGGGGGGAATATTTATAAACATCAAATGCACTCCCTGTTGTGTAACCGAACCCCTGCCATTGCCCCCCCCCCCCCCCCCCCCCCCCCCCCCCCCCCACTGACTCTGACAAGCTTCCAAAATTGTCGTAATAGTGGTGACCAGTTTTATGAACGCTATGAGAACTGTGAGAAAGAATTTTCAATATTATTTTTCAAAGGGGGGTGGGGGGTTGCATGTCATGTTTCATTTGATGTTAGGGTGGACACGGCCCACGACAGATTGAGACACGATGGTCAAAAGTGCACTGTGTCTGGGACACTGTTGCAGTGAAAGTTTCACAGCATTTTCCATTTTATTGTCTTGAGTCAAGCAATACATTCTTAAAGCTTTAACCACCATTCTCAAGTTTTGGTCTCTGTTTTGTAAGCAAGATGTTTACATATGAAAAGGCCACTATAATTAGTGTTCTTTTGTGTAATACCCCATGCATGGTCATGCCATCACTCCACATACAATCTAGAGCTGGCATGGTTAAACAAAAAATGTATTGGCTTATTTTTTTGTGGTCGATTACTCGAGCCCCTTTGAAAATGTTGGCAGCACGAAGACGGTAAACCCCCTACAGGCTGCGTTCAGTGTGTTGGGGCTGACATTCCACAATACTGTCACCTGTGAGAAAAGAGGTGCCAGTTTTTTTCTAAATATTGTCGTGTTATTCGATTAGTTGGACAACACGACTAGTCCAGCTCTGATACAATGTTTGCTTTATCAGTCTTATCCACAATCACAGCATTCATATTTCTAAAACAAATTCTAAGGGTTGACCACATGTGCAAAATGGTCTGGATATGGAATGTAATGGTGATGCAGTCCTCAGTACAGTTATAGTTAAAGTGTTTAACCGGAGCTTATAAATTAGTTTTAATCACATATTCACCAAAGGATGTGCAGTATAGGCACAGGAATTATTGCAAGGCGATGATAATATCTTGGTACCTTTCCCATTTTCAATGGCAACCGCTATCATGGTTTCTTGTGCAATACAATGGATATTAACCCACAAAACTGTACAGTATTGCTTTGTAATATTATGACAGCCAGCAGTCACATGTTTAGGTGCTACATTATCCTATATTCAAGTTATCACTTAACCCAAACTGGCTTTAAAATTATGAGCACTCATAACCCAAGCTCAAGATGTCACAATTACTACCTATGTCTCACGAATGTTCGGTTCAGTGTCAAGAGCAAGGCTTTTATCTTTTGGCATTTAAAGCAACAGCCGCATGGAGTTTGACTGGCCCTCAGAGAGGGGTGTATTCAGGTAGACATCATAACCAAATGCTCATTGTGCCTTTCCTTGTGATTGTATCTATGACAAGCTCTTGAATCTCGAGTTCGCTTTTAAATGCATCCAGCGACCTAATTCTAACTCATCCCATAACTATGATGAATCCATAAATGTCCGTCAAACTCTCTCGGGCATTCTGTTCAAGTTGTAGCCCTGTAACATAAACCAGCCATTTAAGTTGTTCTGCTATAAATCAAAAATTAAACTCTCCAGATTCATCACCATGTCTGCCCCACATTAGAAAAAAATATAATGAGCTGACATTTTAAACAATCGCCCATCTTCAGAGCAGAGAAAGAGGGCAGAAATATTGACTGATTTTGTAGTTGGAGGTCACACTTTACACAGCAGTGTCCTAAAAAAACTGGAAAATGTAAAGAACAGTAACAAGTTTTGAATTTGACTATGAATAGGTTTGCATTGCGAGACTTTGAGCAGCAAACCCTTAAAAAGTAAAAATAAATTATTTGTATGAATGAATTTAACGGATAATAAATATGTAAATGAACTGCATCAAGGAAAGGTGTAACATTGGTGGCTTCAGCAATATTAGCAGCTGTCCCAGTAATGTGTATGGTATGTACACAGCATATATAATGCGTGTCATGGACCTGTATCCAGTATAGCAAGTCCGCTTTGGAGGATCATGCACCATATATTTATCCATAATAATCACCGGTTAATCAAATATCTACATGAGTTATTTCACGGTGCTTTATAAACACTGAAGGAGCAGAAACGGAATCCTGTGCAAACAAAACAATGCTCAAATTAGCAATATGCATTACAGCATTCAACATAATTAGCTTGTGAATCCGACACCGGCAGGCAGATGATAAAAAAATATATATTTCCACAGGATGTGCAGCCTAGCAGCACGGTAATGACGTGTGACGCGCAAAACTGCAACAGGAAGATGGAAGGCGAGGAAGGCAGCCGGTATGGGGTGCGTGTGGATAACCATGCCGGTACCTGTACACCTCTTTTGTTCCACGCAGGTAAAAACATGGGCAAGAAGAAGGCTGTGGTTGACGTGGGAGCTGTTGAGAATGGAGACGCCGCGGCAAAGAATCTTGATCCTCTTTATGAAAATATAACGGATGGTGGCGTTAACACCGAGCAAGACGCCAAGCATGGGTGAGTAATGGACTGATGAAAGGTTAATTGATTCACTCAATCACTCGCTCATTCATCTTGCTTGAAACTTGTGTTATATATAGATATTTCCCACGCTCTTTCAAACTTATATGAATAATAATTTACAGTCCTTTGTTAATTAACTGTAAATTAATGCCTCATGCCTTATCTGTCATGGGGCATATACATGTTTTTATTGAGAACAATGTATGCAAATGTTTGTTGTGTTTCAGTAAGGTTTGAACTAAAAACATGTAAAGTTCCCATGACCATCGCAAAGTGTTGTCCATTGAATCTCAAAAAAGTAAAATGTGCGTGGTATTTTCAGCAAAAAGAAAAAAGAACCCAAAGTGAAAACCAATATGGTTGGGCTCTTCGGACTGGTATGTTACCCTAAACATGGGTTAAATCATTTACTTCATAAACATATTCCGTTGTTATTCATTACATAAACACAATAAATAAAATATCATGATCACCATCATCAGCCCAGATTAATCTACTGCTGGATGAAGGCCTCCCCAAGCTCACACCACGATCCTGCGACGTATTAATCCACCTTGGCTTGAAATGGAATCTACAGGTTTTTAATACAATCTTTGCTTGCCTGTTTTTTGTGCCATTATTCCCCAAAGCGATAAATAAGTGCCACTGTGTCAAAACCAAACAATGGTTGTCCACGAGGTATTCTGATCCCTGTCATACTTATGTAGAATGTGTGTAAGTAGCTCAGAACTGCCACTGGATATTAGTAGCTCTGTTCAACACTGGTTGAACATGGAGACTCCATTATTATTTTATGTAATTGTATGTTATGTTACAGTTGGGATACTGGCATTAACAGTTTGTTTTACATCAACACCTGAGGTATAAAAAAATAAAAATTGAAGATTTTCCTTGTATGTGTAGTTCCGTTTTGCAAGTGGGCTGGACAAGCTGATGATGGTGGTTGGACTCATCTTTGCAATTGCAAACGGAGCCGCCCTCCCAGTAATGATCATCCTCTTTGGAGAAATGACAGACACCTTTGTCAATGATGCTCAGAACAACACCGGGACAAGTAAGATGGTTTTCAATTCTGCCCCTGATTTTGCCGCGAAACTATTGTAATCAGTTTAATCACACTCCGTTACCAACCATAGCATTTTACTATTTTGTGTTTGTATGGGATTTCTACAAACACATTTCTTTAAATTGCATTTTACGTTGAAAATATATTGCCTTTGCCATACAGGCAATCACTAGCATACGGTAATTTTGCAATCGTGACTGCCAGCTGCGTGCTATTATCTGGAATTTGTAATAACTCAGTGAACTTGTTGCACGAGGACAGTTTGTACACTTTATTGCTCATCTTTATTGGACCTTTTTTGTTGTTGCAATCCACTTGTCGTATTCTGTGTTTTATTGTGCTGACCTTTGTTCATGGCCTCGAGGTTATTTAACCATGACTTGGAGATGCATTTGAAGTTGAAGGATTATAAATTATTTGTTGGACATCATGTTGTAGCATGTTCAGGCTTTCATTCATCAAATTATGGTAATATACAACATTTTATTCAAACTAAGAATTAAAAATGATAATTTTGCTGATGCAGATTTACAGCCATGTAATGTGTTGTTTTGTTTGCAGATGTAACTGAATCAGAAAGCCTTGAGGACCAGATGACACGGTATTGACATAGTTTCTCTGTGCAGATTGCATCCAGAAACTTGCTGTCATGAACAGTTCATGTTATCCTCTAGATATGTTTCATGCGATTCTTAAGTGAAAAAAAACGTTTAAAATGTAATTACTACATAAGTCCAATAATTAGACTTATTAAAATTAGTTTGATGCATTTAGACTCACACTACGCACTAGATTACAATTGTTCTATCATTAACTAATAGTACAGTGCGTCCTAACCCTGGCCATCAGGGAATGTGGACTGCTAATATAATAAATTAATGCACTGGTGTTCCCCTAGCGGTATACAGGTACTTCATTCATTTTCTGCCGTGTGTGTATATAGATCATAGCACATACATACTGTGGTCTGGATGTCAAGATTGTATGCCTTCGAGAGATATTTCATGAGCCATACTAAGTGCACACAGGATAACACACCACCAAGAGATTGTTCACATCTGCATAGGGATGTATTGTATTGCTAATTAAAGTCGGCCTTCAAAGGTGCTCGATAAAAGCACTTTCCCCAACAGTCTGTTAAAGGCTATATGGGCGATATTTTTGTTTGTACTTTTGCTCATTTTGTTATGAGTGGACAGTCCCATGGCAAAAATATTACCATGCTGTTCCTGCAAGCCATTCCACCATGCGTGTTCTGAGTGGTGGATGTTGTGTTAAAACTCGCATTGGTCACTATGAGATCAAACTCGCGTGGTCAACTCCTACAAATAGCTTACCATGCAAGTTCCCCACAACCCAGAACATTTAAAGCCACAAGCTCTACAAAAGTGCCAGAAGACACCAGACCAATTATCCTTAAGCGGTAACTCAAATGCCTCTGCTCGAACACATATTCTATATAGTACTGTATGTCAGGATAGAGTGGTGGTTCAGTGGTTAGCACACTGTGCTGTGAAACCAGCAACCTGAGTTTAATTCAGAGCAATGGCTAACATCAGTGGTGAGTGACATCTAAACCCACCCTGCTCCCCCTCTTTACCAACCCACACTCGCCAGCATGGGGAGGTCTGTCAAAACAACCCCATGACTTATGCAGCATCTTATATGATCTCATCAAAGTTTATATAGCGCCTTTTGCAAGGCAGTTTAGAGCGATTATACAATTGTGTGGTTTGAGATGAAGGCTGGGGTTATTAAAAGTGGCGGTGTAGTTATAGTGACAACAGAACAGGAGCGAGTGTTAAGGATGAGGTGTGGTAGGCCTGGTCATAGCTGGGGGGCAACGGAAAGCTGGGGGACGGGAAAGAATTGAGGCATCGCATTGAGAAGGCAAAAGGGGTTGGCCAGGGGGAGAGCCGGGCGGGGGATGAGGGTCTTCATTCAGCAGCGAATTCACAAAGGGCTGTAAATTTTAGTAATTGTCCACGGGCTTATATAAGCATAGGAAAGATGTGCGTATGCGTAGAGAATGAAGGTAGCACCTCAATATGGTGGGAAATTCCATCACACACATTCGTTTGGATGTTTTTTCCTTCTCCGTAACTCACACAATATCATGACCATACCAAAAGATAGGCCAAAAGAGCTGGAAATTTTTTATTGAAATTTGGCCATAAATTTATAATGTAACTGAGGTGAAGTTCTATATTAAATGTGCTGGCGTACTGTATGGTGCGTCAGTGTTAGTCAGTTTTTTTTTCTATTTAGTTTGCTGTCCTTCCCCCACACCTTCATTGAGCATGGTTGGCTAAGTATGGTGCGAAATAGGTTTAACAAACAAAGCAAAGTACAGTTCTTATTGTCGTTAAAGTTTTCTTACGCAATTGAATATTGATCCACTTCAGGTGAAGAGTAAAGTAGGATGTGGCCCCATTTCCAGAAAGCAAATGAGCAATTATACAGCACAAAACTTATGCCACAGGTTTGTTTTTCTTGATAGTGCTTATCACTATAAAGTGAAACCGATATTCAGGCACCCGCACCCCTGTTACTCACACAGGTACGCGTACTATTATGTGGGCATCGGCGGCGGTGCGTTCCTGGCATCATACATCCACATCTCCTTCTGGGTGCTGTCGGCATCGCGCCAGGCACGCAGGATCCGAGAGACGTTTTTCCACGCCGTGCTGCGGCAGGAGATTGGCTGGTTCGATGTCAACCAGACAGGGGAGCTGAACACGCGCCTAACCGAGTATGATCAACCAGCTTACGCCACACCACGATCACTGACAGCATGGTTATTCACACCAGAATCACTGACACTTTGATCCCTTACGCCAAGAACACATATGTCGCCATGATTACTCACAACACACCATGATCACTCACACCACAGCACAATCACTCACACCACACCACTATTAATTCACTCATACCACACCACTCTCACACTGCACCCAGATCACTCACACCACAAATCACTTACACCAACCCAGGATCATCCATCACATCCCAGTCACTCACACCGCACCATGATCACTCACACCGTACCACGATATCTCACATTATACCATGAACACGCAGCATACCACAAATTCAGGTGGCGTAACAATGTGTTTCTCTACAGTGACATCAACAAGGTCACAGACGGCATGGGTGACAAGGTGTCACTGCTCGCACAGTCCCTGGCGACCTTCATCTCGGGCTTCATTATTGGATTCATCAAGGGCTGGAAGCTGACGCTCGTTATCCTGGCCATCAGCCCCGTGCTCGCTATCTCCGCAGGGCTCTGGTCAAAGGTCAGGAACAGCACTGGGCACGATGGCTTCTAAGCATTTTAAATACCCCAACGTCTGAGCTACATTGACTAAGAAGGGCTCCGTTGCTCGGCTATGCTTATGTTGCCATCTGTAGCCATGCATGGCTCACTGATGAACTCTTAATAGGGAAAAGCGCATCTGTGTCCCACATGCAGTGGACTGTATACATTATCGTTGAACATTGTTAACCAACCGTTAACATGCCATGTTTTTTGTATATAATGTAGTAGGTATAGCATCATGACAATGTGAACTGAAAAGCCAGTACAAGGCTTGACAAAGACTGTGAAGGGCTGGCGAATGTGGAGAGAGTTGACAGGCGAATCTTTAGTGGTGACTTTCACAATCGTTATGATTAAGGACAAAATTAAACTGTGGTGAAGGGATAGGTGATGATATATTGTATATGTGTATTACAAACATCACTCAAGCAGCATTGACATAATCGAAAACAAACGTCTCTCTTGCTCAGGAGCACCTTGAAAAGTGAGCCCATTTATGGTTCAAAGATTGTCTTACATTCTGTTTATAGAACTATGACATAAAATGCTTTGTATTCGTAATTTGTTCTGAAGGTGGATTAACTCATGATGATGATGATGGGACGCAACCATGACAAATAATTGTACAAAAGTTGCTCATTATAAGATAGTGAGTGTTATTATCCACTGAATTCATAATCATTTTACTTAACAGGCCTAAATGCACATAAATGTTCATAGCTTTTGTTTAAGTTTTGCATTTTATTTTAAATTTTCTACTTTCTCAAAGACGTTAATCAATTTGACATTGTTGACTAAAAACAGTTTGAACATATATACGATGAGCCTTATGCAATAATAATTTGTATGTCCTCTTTTTATGCTGCGTAATTGTTTACGTGAAACAAACACAACAATGCAATCCTGCATTGCCAGGGGTGAACATTCACAATTGACAAAAACTTAACACTTTCATCAATAACACTGCCCAAAAAAGGAAAAATATATATCATAGGTGACGTTTGAGGCAATTACCCTTTTCCATAGCAAAGAGATGCTGCGACGAAGAGGGGTCCTTTCCCGAGGCATTGGCATGAAACCCTACATTTTGTGCTGCAAGGCAGACTGTAATTGACGATTGGTTTTCAATGCTGGCTCTTTTTGACTATTGGTAGATCCTGACCTCGTTCACGAACCGTGAGCTCTTGGCGTACTCGAAGGCAGGCGCCGTGGCGGAGGAGGTCCTCTCTGCCATTCGCACCGTCATGGCATTCGGGGGTCAGGAGAAGGAGCTCAAGAGGTGATTTGTGCATCAGGGGCTGGGAGGAGATCTTTTGATGGGTGGATCAAGCACACAGTGCTCGTAAACGTGACTCCACACGAGAGGGATTGGCAGATTTTGTGTGCATGAATGTTAAACTTCTTTTGCACTGTATTTAACCAACTGTGCTAATTGGAGGTGTGGATTTTATAGGAGGGGACCATGTAATGGACCAATGTTTCAAACCTTTACACACACAGCACCTCTCTGCATTGATGCAGTACCATTGTCTGAAACTTTAGCACGCTAAATGCGATTGTGTCATAGGGCAGTGTATATGACAACTTTTTCAGTACTGCGTAGGATTATCCCTGCTGTGTTTTTGAGTTGCTCGGCTTATGTCCTACGTTTCTCTCCACATACTGGAAGCTTCTCTTCAGGAACTGAAAGGCATGTTGATTGCAAAGTCGGACATTATGGCAAACAATGCGCAGTACAACCCAAAAATAATCCAGTTATTTATTTATTTATATTAGTGCTCTCTCGCGCACACACAGTAACGCACATTCATAGTCCACGCATGTAACTTGAGTTCATCATATACCATTCACGATGTAGTGCTGGACAGCCTCTCACTTGTCAAAACCAATATTTTCCAATTGATGTTAAGCAATTCTCTTTGTCTGCGGCAGATACGACAAGAACCTTGTGGAGGCCAGAAATATTGGGATTAAGAAGGCCATCACTACAAACCTGTCGATTGGTTTTACCATGTTCATCGTATATGCCTCGTACTCGCTGGCATTCTGGTACGGAAGCAGACTGGTGTTGGAGGACACTTCCTACACAATAGGGAACGTCATGATTGTGAGTGTCCGCACAAGCAATTCACAAACCTGCGCACAAGTCAACAGCAATCGGAATAATGTTTCTTGCAACGTTCTATTCAGGATTTAGTAATAGCTTTGTACACGACAGAACACATTTTGCAATGAGTTGTATATAATGACAGTATTTTTATTTATTATGGAACATTGATAAACTACAATACAACACTTGTCAGAACATATTAGCGATTGTTGACATTCATTTTTTTTCAAGTGTTTCATTAAATTGTGTTTTTTTGATGTTTACAAAATAAGTTTCGCTTCGGCAAGAAATGTGAATTTAAATTTTGATTTAAAGCTTTCGTGACTGCAGTAATTCATATTCTTAGTTTTTTCGGTAAAGTCACGTTGAAGAGAAACAACAAAATAACAAAATATATATAAATATATATAAATGTGAATTTGTTAATCTCAATGAAAAAGCATCAGTACACACAGGTAAAATATATACATTCTATCTGGATACACACAATTCTGTGATTGAAGTGTTACAAAAAGAAATAGGGCACGATTCCTATGTTGGAGGATGGGCTTTTTCCACCTGCCAATAGCCATCCCACACGTGCCAACATGTAAACCCCAGCCCCATATTTCTTGATAAGTTCTGTATGTATGTTGAACTAATTTCGCACCATACATAACCAACCATGCTAATCGGAGGTGCTAAGCGTTTAGATAAGGTGCTGATTTGAGGTGAGGCTGAATGAGATATTTTCTGTGGCAGGTGTTTTTCGCCGTCATCATTGGAGCATTTGGAATTGGCCAAGCGGCCCCATTCCTTGAGGCCATCTCTGTCGCTAGGGGTGCTGCTTATACCATCTTTGAGATCATTGACCGGGTAAGTGTTCAGTGGGTGCCTTGTATTATATATGTGTGTGTATGCACAAATATGTAGAAATTAATATGTTATATGTGTTGAGGCGTAAATGACGACTCGGAGGCAGATTTTCATGTAGGGGCTTGCGCCAGTTGTTTTATTAAGGACTTTTCTTCATACACGACTCCGTGTACTGCACGCTCACTGCCTACACTCCACACCCCAGGGGAAGGGTACTGGGGAAGTCCCTAGCACACCCCCAGGCTACTCTAGCCTGGTGCTAATTTCCCCCTACCCTGGGTCCCATCGCTCCCCCAGGGGAAGGGTACTGGGGAAGTCCCTAGCACACCCACAGGCTACCCGAGCCTGGTGCTAATTTCCCTCTACCCTGGGTCCCATTGCTCCCCCAGGGGAAGGGTACTGGGGAGGTCCCTAGCACACCCACAGGCTACCCTAGCCTGGTGCTAATTTCCCCCTACCCTGGGTCCCAATTCCCAACTTCACACGTTCCTGGCTCCCCGCAACGACCTCGAACACGTCACGGGTCCCAATCTAAATATCCCAGGGGGACATGATGTCACCGTCCCGCCCCCTGTCCATGACGTCATCATACGTGACGTCATCGTGCCGGAGGGCGAGCGTGACATGACGTCACTAACTACTATACATATGTATCCATTTAATACATGTGTTGAGGTGTTAATGACGACACGAAGGCAGACGTTGTCGGGACTGACGCCAAACGATTTATTAAGAGCTTTCGCCTAGCTTTTGGGGAAGGGCTAACACAAGACATTGGATAAGCTAAATCTCCCAGGGAAAAGGGTACTGGGAATCCCTACACCTCCCAGGCTAACAGGCTCTTCCCACAGCGCTGACCAACGGTTTATCCAACTCGGCCAGCCGGGTAAAGTAGCCCCCCCTAGCCTGGTACTATTTCTCCCCGACCCTGGGTCCCCCCTTCCCTTCCGCTCACGATCCCGGCTCTCGGCGAAGACCCCGTCTACGTCACCGGTCCCCCCTCAAATACCCCGAGGGGACATGACGTCACTCCTCCCGAGGCGAGTGCGACATCCCGTCACCACTCTACTCCTCAACCCATACATAATTCGTCATTGAGAAACAGAAAGAGGTGTACGTGGTTTAGAGAACATACTCTGGTTAAATAAGTCAACATACTCTGGTTAAATAAGTCAACATACTCTGGTTAAATAAGTCAACATACTCTGGTTAAATAAGTCAACATACTCTGGTGGAATACGTCAACTCACAGTGCCTTTTGACTAGCCATTGAATAAAGACGGTCACTGCATAGCACGCTTTCAAATGCGCTTCTGCACCCATCTGATCACTCTTCCGTCCGATATTTGGAAACCGCTGGAGCTGCGCACCTTTAAATCTAAATTGAAAAATAATTTCTTTAGAACTGCTTTTTGTGTTTAGTTTGTTGTCCTTCCCCCACACCTCTGATTAGCACTATTGGCTACGTACGGTGCGAAAGAAGTTAAACATACATCTTCTTTGGTTCTTTCGGTAAAGTCACGTAGAATGAGAATAAAATAATAAATTGATAAAATAAAATAACACAATAATATTCTCACGACGTTTCGGCCACAACACAAGCGGCCTTCATCAGGTGAAACGTCGTGAGAATATTATTGTGTTATTTTATTTCATCAATTTATTATTTTATTCTCATTCTACGTGACTTTACCGAAAGAACCAAAGAAGATTAATCCTTGCAGTCACGAAAGCTTTAAATGAAAGGTAAACATACATACAACATATTCTTAGCTCTTTCGGTAAAGTCACGTTGAAGGGAAACAATAAAATAATAAAATATATATAAACAATAAAAAAAATTCTCACGACGTTTCGACCATAACACAAACGGTCATCATCAGGTGTGTCGGTTTGCATTAATTTATTTCTTTTTAAACGGTGTATTTATTTATTTATAGAAACGTCAGCGCCACGCGCAGCGATTTGGCAGTTTATTTAGAAGGACTAGTCCATCTATGTTCTGAAAAGAGGAGGGGGGAGACGAAAAATTAATGTATGCTGTCTGAAAGCCACTGTAAGCGTGAACAATCAATTAAGACCTGAAATGGTTTATCAAATCTTTCCAATGATTGCTAAACCAGAATCTATCTTCTCGGTTGAAATTGTCTCTGTGCTTGTATATGTGGATAGCCTCATTAACGAATCTCTCATGGTAGCCAGATGGCTTACAAAGAACCTCTGTCTTGGAAAAGTCAATGTCATGTGAGCCTACTGAATTATAACAATGATCTGCCACGGCCGAGGTGTTGGTCCTACTGTGTTTAAGGTCTGCTTTGTGTTCACGAATGCGGTCCGAAACATGGCGTTTGGTTTTTCCAATGTAACTACTACCACAGAGGCAACTTAGTTTGTAGACACCAGGGTACTGTATGTCCGGAATCACATCTTTTACAGATGGAACCAGATCACGGATTTTATGTAATGTGTTGAAACGGACCTGGATCTTGTGTTTATTCAAGATTTTGGAGATCTTTTTTGTGATCCCCGCAATGTAGGGTAAAGTGATGGTTTTGAAAGGCTCCTGAAGAGGGTCGTTCTTCATGGTTTGAGTGATAGCTTTGCGGATTGTATAGTCGGAGTAACCATTAGCCTTAAGAGCTTGGTGTACGTGCTTGAGTTCACTGCCTATGTGTTCCTGGTCGGATATGCATTGGGCTCTATGATACAGAGTCTTGATGAGAGAATTCTTCTGTGATGGATGGTGGTGGGAATCCGGTTTCAGATAAGCATTCGTATGGGTAGCTTTCCTGTAGACAGAGTGGCTCATTGAACCTTTGTAAGCCATCTAGCTACCATGACAGATTCGTTCATGAGGCTATCCACATATACAAGCACAGAGACAATTTCAACCGAGAAGATGGATTCTGGCTTAGCAATCATTGGAAAGATTTGATAAACCATTTCAGGTCTTAATTGATTGTTCACGCTTACAGTGGCTTTCAGACAGCATACATTAATTTTTCGTCTCCCCCTCCTCTTTTCAGAACATAGATGGACTAGTCCTTCTAAATAAACTGCCAAATCGCTGCACGTGGCGCTGACGTTTTTAATAAATAAATAAATACAACGTTTACAAATAAATTTATGCAAACCGACACACCTGATGACGACCGTTTGTGTTATGGTCGAAACGTCGTGAGAATTTTTTATTGTTTTATATATATTTTATTATTTTATTGTTTCCCTTCAACGTGACTTTACCGAAAGAGCTAAGAATATGAATTACTGCAGTCACGAAAGCTTTAAATCAAAATTTATACATACAACATACTCTGGCTTAATATAACTGTTAAGAAAAGTGAATGGGTTTGATCGTCAACAGTCAAATTTAATGAAGGAGTGCAGTTCATGGAAAGGCCACGCAACGGCCTTCTTGTTCTGACGTTGTTGAGTGTGTAACAGGCAAGGCTCCCAGGGTTATTAATTAGCCCATAGATTTGCACTTGAAATGATCGAGAGAGTGTCGCCACATCACTGCTGTCTTAACATAATGAACGTTTTTTTTTGTTATCCTTCTACAGCAACCACAGATCGACAGTTTTTCCGAAGAGGGTTACAAGCCTGAAAAAATCACCGGCAATGTGGAGTTTCAAGACGTACACTTCAACTATCCGTCGAGAGCGGACGTACCGGTGAGATGAACGAAGACGCGGCGCACGTACACCCCCCCCACCGCCCCCCCCCCCCACTCCCCTCCACACAAGCCTGCAATGTCTAAAAATTTCCCCTCAACTCCATCGCATTCTGCCAGGTGCTGAAGGGGGTCAACCTGCAAGTGAAGAGCGGCCAGACAGTTGCGCTGGTGGGCAGCAGCGGCTGCGGCAAGAGCACGACCATCCAGCTGCTGCAGCGGTTTTACGACCCGCAGCAGGGCACGGTGAGAATGGCTGTGCCCCATTGGCCTCCCTGCAAGACAGGCCGAGTGTGCGACAAGAGATTTTCACTTGAAGGCCGTCGCTGCCGCTGTTCCGTCCACACACGTGCTGTACTTTGGCACGCGACTCCACGACTTATTGTCGCCATGCCACAAAGGAAATTGTTAATTTTTACCAAGAATAATGGAAGTATTATGCCCTATTTGTCGCTGGCAATCACCTATTGAAATTTTCACATTGAGGCTACAAAGGAAGTTACTTCTGTGCTTAAATGTAACTTTGGCTTTTTTTTACTTCTCGTACTACAATGTTAATGTTGGGGTATATTTCACTTCATAATCGCACACCTCTTTGATGCTCATTAGGAAGTTACTGACGTGGGAAATGTACTTTATCACATTGACTTATTTTATTTTATTTAGCACGTGCATTTTTGCCATGCCAGGCAGCAGCTTCATCATGTGCAGAATGCATTGGCCTCAGACCGCCACCAGCCACCAAGCTTAGTTAGCGGACACAGTTTACAACAATGTGTCTGTCTCATACCACAACTGCAGGTCGGGATGTCACGTAAGCCCCCGCCTGTGCAAGCTTGTGCATGTTCACCACATTGCAATGTTTTAAATCGCACCGTATAGATGCATCACATTTGAAAGTTCACTTGACAGAAGGTCGCAGCAGTGTTGGTGGAATATGCCCAGCCTGGGAATCTGCTTGACCTGACACCACGGTCCTCACAGATCATGGTAGACGGGAGGGACGTGCGCACCCTGAACCTGCGCTCCTTGCGTCAGCTGATCGGTGTCGTGAGCCAGGAGCCTGTGCTCTTCGCCACAACCATCGCCGAGAACATCCGCTTCGGTCACGAGAAAGTCACGATGGAGGACATCGAGAGGGCGGCTCGGAACGCCAATGCATACGACTTCATCAGCCAAATGCCCGAGGTTTGTTGGCCCCTGCGGTGCGTATTCTGCTTTCCTTTAGTTGTGGAGTTGAACAGAAAATTTTATTTGTTGTTCAGGTTGTTAAGAGAATCAGTAGATGGCTTCAGGAGTAGCCTGGTGAATATCTGAAATGCTGATGATGAATTATATAGGAGGGCAGTGGCGTACTATGTGGTCCATGGTTTGAGGTAGAAACTCACATGAAGATTCTTAGACTTGCATGGAGGTCCGTAAGCTCGTGTAGAGATCCATGGGTGAATTATCAAAGTGGATAGTGATGCTACTGTGTGGTCCTTGTGAGATATAGACTCACGTGGAGGTTTAGAGACTCATCACATAAAAATTCACAGGTGAATGAACAAAGTGGTAGTCCATCGATTGAGATGAGCGATCGCAAGTCAGACTCTGGGCAATTCTTGTTTGCCAGTGATTTTAGCATGATCTTACCATCGCCTTAAACATTTTAATTTAACAATGCACTGGCATAATTAAATTAACAACACAAGTTTAACAAGAGTTAGTAGTTGGCAGAGTTTATATAAAAATGGCATTTATATAAAATATAACAAATATAAACACCTCACCATCATCACTACCTTAGATCCCAAAAAATACACCAACATTTCGGGCATTAGCCCTTATTCAGAGAAGAGAGAAAATGTTGCCTGACTTACACTGTTGTCGGGACAGCATTTAACAATATTTTACCATGAAAACATTGGCAATGGACTCCCTTGCGTTTTAGCACTGTAAAACGAAATGTGCATGATTTTAAATTGTATCCATGAAGCAGCTGTGAATACGCCACGTGTCTCTCTGTAGAGATTCAACACGCTGGTTGGGGACCGCGGAGCGCAGCTCAGTGGCGGGCAGAAGCAGCGCATCGCCATCGCGCGCGCCCTCATCCGAAATCCCAAACTCCTGCTCCTCGACGAGGCCACATCGGCCCTGGACGGGGAGAGCGAGGCCATTGTACAGGAGGCCCTGGACAAGGTATGGCTCCAATGGCTGTCCTGGCTTCCTTGGCTGCCTTGGCTGCCTTAACTCCCCTGGCTTCCCTGGCTGCCATAGCTTCTCCAAATTGGCCTTGCACTGAGAGTTCTGTGCACTGCCGTGATCACCTACCCCCGACAAATGAAGGCATAAAGTGGAGAGCACATGTGAGTGTGTGCACACATTATCTTCCGTGATTAATCCTCAGCTGGCTTGGTTGGTTGCATGCATGTGTGGGCTGCAGAGGCAGCCACTTCATGTTTGAGATTAGATTATCCTTAGCTACACTAGAACATGGGTAGACAATCTATTAATGAAACGATTTAAACGGCTCTATTGTGAAATGTATTGCTTATTATTCATTGCAATTTTGTATAGAATTTCCGGAATAGGTGGGTATTAACATTGCTCTTAATAATTTGAATGTGAAAACTAACAACTAGCAGCATGGAGGGACATTGGGCATGACAGTTTGGGTCTGAAAGTTGGTCAACCTCACACTGTGACGTCCTCCACCCCCTCGTTACCCCAGGCAAGAGAAGGCCGAACGACGCTCGTGATTGCCCATCGCCTCTCCACAATCCGCAATGCCGACATCATCGCAGGCTTCGATGGAGGTGTCATCGTGGAGCTGGGCACTCACGATGAGCTGATGAAGCGCAACGGAGTCTACCACACGCTGGTCTCCATGCAGGTGGGCTCAGCGCGCCACGGCCACGACTTGCTCATCAGCAGCACGCACACTACTCATCAGCAGCACGCACACTACTCATCAACAGCACGCACACTACTCATCAACAGAACGCACACTACTCATCAGCAGCACGCACACTACTCATCAACAGCATGCACACTACTCATCAACAGCATGCACACTACCCATCAAACAGCACGCACACTCCTCATCAGCAGAACGCACACTACTCATCAGCAGCACGCACACTACTCATCAACAGCACGCACACTACTCATCAACAGCACGCACACTACCCATCAAACAGCACGCACACTCCTCATCAGCAGAACGCACACTACTCATCAACAGCACGCACACTACTCATCAACAGCACGCACACTACTCATCAACAGCACGCACACTACCCATCAAACAGCACGCACACTCCTCATCAGCAGAACGCACACTTCTCATCAGCAGCACGCACACTACTCATCAACAGCACACACACTACTCATCAACAGCACGCACACTACTCATCAACAGCACGCACACTACCCATCAAACAGCACGCACACTCCTCATCAGCAGAACGCACACTACTCATCAGCAGCACGCACACTACTCATCAGCAGCACGGACACTACTCATCAACAGCACGCACACTACTCATCAAACAGCATGCACATTACTTATGAACAGCACGCACGCGAAAAAAGTTCAACATACACAAATGTCAGCGTTGCGAGATACACAACCTGCTGTACCATGAAGCAGCCAGTAGATGGCAGCACAGAACTTCCTAAACATCCCAAAGCAGAGCGCTCCTGGGAGTCTTCGAGGCTCTGCAAGACAATCATAATGCCCCCTATTTACTCAGAGTAAAAAAAATATTAGTTTCGTTTACGATTGCTTTGGTTTGATTAATGCATTACTGAAACATTCCTGTATATGTTATGCCACAGACGTTCCACCAAAAGGATGACAATGGGATTGAAGACATCAAAGCCAAACGCCTAGACTCGCCTACTGGTGACAAGGCCTTTTTCCGCAGCCTGTCCCAGCAGTCACATGCAAAAGAGTCAGACTTAGCCAAAGAAGATGGGGAAGACAACAAAGAGACAGAGGTGATATATATAATACACGCTTATACTTCTGCCAGTGTATAATATAACAATAAAAATCATACACAATAATAGTTCACAACCCATTTTCAATACACTGCTGGATGAATGTCACCCCATGAAGTGGCAGTTAAGGCAGGGTTGTTTGGCTATACTTGCTGGCAATACCACACTTGTCAGTGCAGGTTGGTGAAGGGGGACATACAGCAGGACCGCTTTAGATATTGCTCGCCACAAATGTCAGCCATGGCCAGGTATTTCGCTCAGGTCGCTCAGATCTTGGTGCGTTAGTGGAGCGATTTGTATCGTTTGTTCCACGCCTCCGATTAGGACATATGGCTATGTGTGGTGTGAAAAATTCACCATACAGTACATACAACAAAATTGTTCTACGATAGTCCAATTGTCTATTTTGTAATATATGGCTCTGCTTTTCTGAAAACTTCTTCAACAAGTGCAGTGCAGATCTGACCTCACACGAGGTATTTAAAAAATGCTACAGCAGTTGAGTCCATCCTATTGACAATTCCTATGTACTGCCTTTGGTGACAGGAAGTAAAGATCCCGAAGGTGTCCTTCTGGAAGGTGTTAGCGCTGAACAAGAAGGAGTGGCCGTACATTACCCTAGGCACCTTGTGTGCCGGAGTCAACGGCGCATTGCAGCCCGCCTTTGCCGTCATCTTCTCTCGCATCATCGGGGTACGAGGTCACCTTTCCCTTAAATTTGCACCGATAATTTTTCTGACCTTGGGGTGGACAATTCACACGTGGTCTGAAATAGCTGGTTCCATATAAAAACAAAAAAAGCATGACAACTCGTCACCATACTTAAATGAGCATGGGGTACAGTCAGTAATGGCATTTTTCAAACATCCCAATGCAGGAACCCTTCCTGAAAGAGTTTTGAGACTCATTACAGCTTTCCTGGATAAACAAAGGCATTCATATTATTATATATTATATATAACCAGTGTAAATTATAGTTTTTATAATTATAGTTTTTGAGTGCCTCTATCAAGCAATGATTTTGTTGACTTGGAAATGGAAATTATTCAATGAGCCATCGAATGCAAGGATCACTGGCATATTTTATAGACTACCTATGGGAGATTGAGGGCTGTTGGCAGCTACGGTTGTGAATGTGTGCAGAGGTTACTTGTGCATATTTCTACATGTCAAACCACACATCATCGTGGTGTGGTTTGTGTATGGGATTCATTGCTGGCTTTGTGCAGGTGTTTGCAGAGACAGACCTCGTGAAACGAGAGGAACAGAGCAACCTCTACTCCTTGCTCTTCCTTGTCCTTGGGATCGTCTCCTTTGTTACATTTTTCCTTCAGGTATAGCCACAAACACACACACAAACACATTAACACATGCACAAAACAAAGATAAACATGCCCTGTGTAGCCTATATGGTCTGTTGAAGCAAGTGCTATTAGCACTTGCAACTATTAAGGCCGACACGGCGAACAAGATTGCCTTGTGGCCAGCACCACAACTGGCCCCTTTTGTTTCCCCAGTGCCATATTCACACCAGCTACTCATTTAAGACTGACTTGGTCTCGGGGAAGCCTGGAACCGGTTCAGTTTCAATCACCACTGATATTAGCTGTGACCGGTAATCAAGCACAGGTCACCGAGTTCGTAGCACGGTGTGCTAATGATTTATGCCACCACTCCCCAGACATATACACGCACACACACGTGTTTAGAATTATAGGTGGCTAAGAATATAAGATTACTGATGCTTAGAGCCATGTAACATTTAGTTAAAGCCATAATATTTTACTTTGTTAATCAGAAATAAATTGACACGTCAAATACAATGCAGCGGTCTGCAGTTGTATTTTAAATATTTGTACATTTGTTAAATATATTTATGGTGTGATGCCAGTTGTGGTGATACCTTTTTTTCTTTCCGGTGTGTCATATTTGTGTGTTGCTGATGGCCTCTGGCTGCAGGGCTTCTTGTTTGGTCGTTCTGGTGAGCTGCTCACAATGAAGTTGAGATCAATGGGCCTGAGGGCCATGCTCAGACAGGTAATGGCTGCACATCATTAAGATACATCTCCATCATGATTAGCCTCGCTCAATCCTCTGCTCAATGAAGGTCTTTTAAACTACAAAGGCCCCTTATGCAGTTGTTGAAACAAAAATGTGACGCAATTGCAAATGTGTTTGCTGTCCTCCCATATAAACTTCACCAGCCTCACATGTGGTACTTCATAGCCTTAAACACTGCTGTGGGATTTTCGCAGCATGGTATTCATAAAATTATTGGGGATGAGATACTCTGATTTGAGTAAAGTAGTATCTGCTCCCTCGCTAATGTCTAAATCACCCAGAATGCACCAATCTCATCAGATCTCAGAAGCTAAGCAAGCGTGAGCCAAGATAATGCTTGGATGGGTGACTACCATGCATGCATACGAGGTTGGCATAGGTTGACGTGGGGCTACGGTGGTGGGCAGTGTAGCCAAATACTGTACGTTTTATGCTCGTACGTTAATACCGGTGAGATTTCACTGACCCACACTGAAGTATTGTCCCATAACCGCCACAATCTACACGGTGTTGATAGGCTCTCCATCCAGCAGTGAATTGACTAAAATGACTGTGAATTATCTCCTTCAGCTGTGTAAGTGACATTTATTTGTACACATCAAAGCAAGGTCAAATGTATTTATAAGTGTTCTGTCAAAAATTACCTCGTGATTTGATGCTAAAAATTGTTTTGCTTGCTGAACAAAATGGATTTTACTTTCAGCCCTTTCCATTACATTTACATTTTGATAATGCCTTGCTTGAATACAGAACACCATCCATTTGTTTTTATCAACACTACATTTTTAACTACATCTTGTGCTTGCCATAGCAAAAGTGTTTTTGCAAGTAAAAAAATACAAGCATCCTCTCTCTATTGAGAATATCCAATGAAGACGTGGCCACATGTTAAACACAGAAGGCTCATAAGGTTACCCTGAATAAAGTGGGTCAGCACTATCCCTAAAATCTTCTGTGTGGTGGGGACTTGCTCATCAACATTTGCATGTCCATGTCCAGGTTGGTGAGATATCCACCAGGCTTTAAGAGTTGCCTGACAATGCTGCTGGCGAATTATCGCAATGAGCAGTGGCGTTACTACGTGGTCCATGGTTTTAGATACAGAATAGCATAGATTTGTAGACTCACAGACACCTATAGACTCGGGCAGAGACACAGACTCGCATAGAGTTCCATAGGTAAATGTTGGAAATGGGCAGTGGTGTTAATTTGTGGTACCTTGTGTAATATATTTTGAGTTTGTTTCATTTGTTGCATGGAATGATTCTGCTTAGCTTTTGCCCAGCTATTTTACAAGGGACATCCATTGTGCATGAGCACAGCAACAACAGAATATACCCATAAGACATCAATATTGCAGAGAACGAGTACAGGGTCTTTAAGGAATATTTTACAACTAACAACATTTTTATTAACGGTCATAAACGAACCACACATGAAGTAAAACTACAATGAAAATACATTATAATATTTCGGCTCACATCAAAACTCATCGATTCACAGTAAGATGCATAGACTCGCATAGAGACCCAGAGGTGAATGACAGAAGTGGGCAGTGGCATTACTGTGTGGTCCGTGGTTTGAGATCAGTGACTGGTTGCATTTGGGGTCAACTCTGCAACCTTTATGTGGTCACCCCTGGTACGCGTCACTCGTAGGTGCTTTCGTGCAACTCGTCAACACAACGGCTGTCATCGATAGGCCACCGCAGGTTGGCTCATCAAATGCCCGCCGTGAACAATCTTTAAACTCTGACTCATGATTGGCTTAATGCTTGTGCCTCGTGCGTGCTTACTTTCGCGTGTGTGCAGGATATGATGTGGTTCGATGACCCCAAGAACAGCACGGGCGCGCTGACCACACGCCTTGCCACTGACGCCTCCCAAGTCCAAGGGGTACGCAGCCGCCGCAAGAGCACAGAGCACTTCCCTTGCAAGCACGGCACCCTGCACACCACGTCCAGTTCACGGTTCAAGAACGGCGGCCACCCTGGTTATTACTGCAGCTGTGTAAACCATAAACATACGTGGCATCTGCTTCACAGTGGACTTTTAGGAACCCCTGATGTTATTCGAAACAACTAGGCCATTGTGTGCCAGCATCATAGTCCGAATTGTCAAATTATAAAAAATTATCTGCAAATGACTCAATTGGGATATCACATATCAACCATTACCCCTAACTGGCAGACTAATGCCTATTTTCAGGCCAGGTGTTCAGTCTCCTTGTGTCCACAGGGACAACTGCCGCTGGGGTTGCCTATTGAAATGTTTGAGATGAGATGTGATGCAAGTCGTTTATCATGAGTTTCAAGCATTCTGGGATGCCCCGTTTTAACGGGTGCTATATCAAAAACAAATTATTATTTTTACTACCTCCTACTATGGCTGTGGCTGCTAGTCACATGCCAATTACTACAGACTACCATTAAAGCGAAAATTATTTCACAAGACATTGTTCCTTGTCAACAGATTGCATTGTTATTTACAGCCTCTATAAAGCACTTTGAGGGAGCAGAGAGGTCAAATTTAGTGCTCAGAGATGGCTGTTTAAAATAGAAGTAATGTAATGTTCATGATACTGGAGGGGTCGGGGAATAATCACCATTTGCATTTTCTGCTTGTTTTTAGTCTAGAATTGTATCAGCTACTTAAGGGAACATTGCACTTGCAGTTGTTTTTCACGCAATCAACCTCTGCAACTCGAAGATTAACTTTAGGTTTTACACTATAAATGCATGCAGAGAATGCAAAGAGTTTCATTCCAGGATTGGTTAAGCAATTTGGAGGTTTGGAACATGACAGGGAAGAATTACAGATATAATCAGAAAAGGAAATTGGAATAGATGGAGGGCAATTTTTGGGGACAGCCTTTGGCGTTTGCAACAAGGGGAGGACCCAAAATAAAAATGTTGGATACTATAAAGCCAAACTTTCAGGGGCTTTTTTTTGCTGTCAGCTGTGCAACTCTAGCTGTCCTGCCATTGGTCTTGGTTCTATTTTTATGCTAAACAAATGACTGTAAGTCCTAATTGTGTTAATTTAGCAATGCTACACACCATAAATAAAAATTGTTTAATGTTGAGCATCCCGCAATTTATTAATGACCACTCAGACGTTTGTCTTTGTGGACGAGTGGTAGGGGGCGGTAGTGTAGCTGTTAGCGCGCTGCTCTACATACACGGTGACCCGACTTCAATTCCCGCTCACGGGAAACGCCAATGACGATTATCTAAATCGGTCCTGGGCCTCCGCTAGGTCGACTCAGCCTCAAATGAGTACCTGGTGCGTTGTGTAAATATCCGCACTCGGGAGGCAAAGGCGGCCGGGTATGGTGCTGGCCACCCACCCCCTCGTGTGCCATGCTGGCCTTCATAGGTGCTCGTTAACAGCACTTGTCCCAATAGTCTTTTAAGGCTATATGGGGGATCTTTGTCTTTGTTTAGTGTGGATGAGCGGTGACAAAACGGCATAGTGACTGTCGATAACTGTTGTGTGTTAGGCAACTGGTGCCAGACTCGCAACCATTGCCCAGAACATCGCCAACATGGGCACGGCCATCGTGATCTCCTTCGTGTACGGCTGGGAACTCACGCTTCTCATCCTGGCCATCGTGCCGTTCGTTGGGGCGGCTGGCTTCCTGGAGATGCAGGCCCTTACCGGCCAGGCCAACCGTGACAAGAAGCTGCTGGAGGAAGCTGGCAAGGTGGGCACTTGTGCAAAGCGGTGACGTGGCCAAGCGGTTGTGCGTTTGCAACTAACTAGTTGCACAGGTTCGCTCCTCGAGCCCCACGGCCACCCTGATTAATACTGCTGGTTTTTAAAAAAAAAGCTTAAATGCCTGCTGTATGCTTCTCTGTGAACGTGAAAGATCCCATGATGTTAATCGAAAAATAGTAAACTCTGTCTGTATGTGTCACGGCCCATATTTGCCAAATAAATAAAAAATACTCGCATGTTACTTAAATGGTTGAAACCACGTAGCAGCATTGATACTACTGGCAGACTATGTGCATTTGTAATCCAGAGCGTGTTCATAATAGCCTTGCACTAAAATAATGGCACAAATGCCAAATGTTCAAAATGGTTGGAAATTCGGATTTATATCGCATTGAATTGTAACTTAATCTCGAGATCCTTTCGTGATAAAAACGTATAAACTCATCGTTCATGTCACAATGTCGGACTCCTGCTCCCATTGGAGGATAAAATGATGTATCATACCTGACACACAAGGAATCAGTAAGTAGAAAATAGTCAATACTGAGACAAAATGACAAATATCATTTTCATCAACACAGATGCTGCTCAAATGTTTGTCAATAGGCAACCAGTCATCTCAATAAGCGAGACAATCTCAATCGTGTCTGTACAAAAGCAACAACCTAATATAAACTGTCCCTTGCCATGGGAACATAGAAATTCCACCACTGCCTTTAGCCCACTGTGTGCACTCCTCAATGATCATGTGGGACATGAAGGCACTTCTATGTTTTTTACTTTTGGTTGCGGTGAGGGATTGTGGCAGTGCAATAGTGAGCCTTTGTATTTACTCTTCATACAGTGGAGACAAACGAGCCTGTGGATATGTTCTGTGCCTTCAGATAGCGACCGAGGCCGTGGAGAATATCAGGACGGTCGCCTCCTTGACGCGGGAGCGCACCTTGGAGAAGATATACCAGGATAGCCTGGAAGGGCCTGCCAAGTAAAGCTTCTAATTTACATCTTATTGATGCTTTTAATTCACAAACTCGTCACTCCATCTCAGGCCCCTTTAACAGGATGCTTTCGCTTGGAATGTTTAGCCAAATTCTGCAAGTCATATAAGCATGCAGGTGATGTAGAGTAAAGTCATACTTAGCAGGGGATAGCATTCTAAATTCTGCAGCCTACTTTCTGTATTTCCATCTACAGGACACCTTGCAGCCCAGCAGGTTGGCGTCTCACACTGATGCTAATCTCTGTGTGCGATTCACCAACAACTCTGCCTCAAACTGGAGGCTAAACTCAAGAACGCTCTATATAGAATTCACCAAACATCCAAAGCAAAATCCTTCAGAAAAATTAATAAGGGCGTAGGCTTTACTGGAATAATAAACAACGAACTCTCTAACTCATATCCATAGTTTAATATGAAAAAATACACATAGATACCCTGTATTGTCTTTCACAGGACAGCGAAGAAGAAGTCGCAGTTCTACGGTTTGACATACGGCTTCTCGCAGGGAGTCGTGTACCTCGCCCAAGCTGCCGCCTTCCGCTTTGGGGCCTTCCTCGTCACGGCAGGCCGCATGGAGTTTGAAAATGTTTTCTTGTAAGCGCTCGGCTGTGTTTATATGAAAAAATATATACATTTGCACTTTAAACTTGTTCTATGGAATATTGAATTTGACTGTTCCCAATCAATATATCACTTTCGCTTAGTGCCATGTGTGATGTGCCAGCCGATTGAGACAAAACTTTCATTTACAAATACATCAGTAAAAAGTCAGTGTTCCCTTGCTGAAATTAGTTTGAGTAAATGCATATGTCCAATGGGAGTCCAAACCAAGTGGTGAAAATTACACATTCCTGCCGTCGGGGCCAGTCCCCGCAAAAGAAAATCACTCGGCGTTCCACAAAATGGTTTTAATGTAATAAACTTTGGAAGGGTATGGCCTGGGTTGACTTCACACCAAGATTTTAACTTGTAACGTTCCAATTGTGCCACAGCACTGCCTGGCTCGAGAGACATTATAACTGGTCTATATATGAGTCAAATCATTCCAAGTGATTTCCTGCCAAAATGCGTATTGAGGCAGTGCTCATCTCCCCTTTACAGTGCTGAGCCAGTAGTGCCAATTCCATATTTCAGTGGCGGTAGTGAGTCTATCCACAGGCCAACCGCTGTTGACTTCCCCACAAAGTGGTACTCATTTCATCGACGTCAGGGGGTTGATAGGCTGAGTTAACCACCAACCAGGATTTGAACTCACAACCTTCTAATTGCGAGCTGCTCGCTCTGCTGCTGAGCCACTTGGTGCGGTTTATTTACGGAGGTGGGCATTTTGACCTTATAAATGTTGCGTGGGCACCCTGTAGGGTGTTTTCGGCGATCGTGTTTGGAGCCATGGCTGTTGGGCAGACGAGCTCCTTTGCCCCTGATTACGCCAAGGCCAAGACATCGGCCAACCACCTCTTTTACCTATTCCAGCTGATTCCTGCGATCGACAGCTACAGCGATGAGGGGGAAAAGCTGGTACGTGCGTTCGACTGCGATCCCATACGAGGCTGTGAATGAAGTTACCATGACCCCACTGTGGTCACAGATTGGGAAAGCTTTGCCACCACCACCATCATCATTAATACTGCCTTATGAAATATAAACAAACAGTGGGCTCACTGTTTATGGGTGGCCCTTTCGTGCTCTGAAGAGACGTTGCCCATGGTGTCAGCCTCCTGCATGATTCGTTTTTACGTTACAAGGCACCATTCGAGGATCACTTTTAAATTCAAGAATATATGGCTGCAGGAGTTATGAAATAATGGAATACAACATATACAGATCAATAGTAATACGTTTTTTATGCATGATTCAATGCGTGCATTGTGAGTGTAAGAATCGATTTCAATTGATATATTGATGCATCATTTCGTGTCTAGTGTTAATAGTGAGAAAGGGTTTTGTTGATCTGTGCTGCGGATTTAAAACTTGATTTTTGTTAAAATGATTCTTGTATTTCACAACTTCCACAATTCCCCATCTCGTGCGACGCTCTCCTCTGGCACTGTAGGAGGACTGTGAAGGGAACGTTGAGTTCCAGAGCGTGGGCTTCAACTACCCGATGCGGCCCAATGTGGAGGTGCTCAAGGGCTTGTCCTTGAAGGTGGAAAATGGCCAAACGCTGGCGCTTGTGGGCAGCAGCGGCTGCGGAAAGAGCACAAGTGTGCAGCTGCTGGAGAGGTTCTACGACACGCTGAGTGGGAACGTGGTGAGTGTGCTATAGTCCAGTCCTCAATGTGCGCAACAATGTCAGAAAATACCATTCCTTCGTTTGTGCTTAGATTCGCGCACTGAGTTTGGCCGGGTGAGACGGTGTCTTCATTATCATCATCATGATTCATTTGTTATAAGGGACTTCCGCGACACGACATGTAGAGGGTACTTCTTCTTTATTCTTATACGGGCACAACACAGGCCAACCTTATCTTCTCACTCTGAGTACAACACTTAGATGCTAGCGTCTCTACTGGCTACACACACACGGCCGATCACTCGGTGCGGTTCCACCGTCCACACTTGGTGGTGGTTGTTATTGTTATGGCAACTTAGAGGTGAGTTTGGGTCGTGTACAGATGGGGCTATTGTGCACAAAACATCCGATTGCAGGACTGTGGGAGTAGACCTATTGTCCTTGTGGGAGGGAGTAGAGTAAGAACGTTTCTTACAGGCTGTATGTGTGTCGCTTAATTTTTGTCACATAATACATAGGACTTTTTATTTATTTTTAAAGGCACTCAAGTTTGTGCCCACATTCCAAATGAAAATTGAATTAATTCGTGACACGTCTGAAAACCATACCAAAAAATTTGAATCGGTATGACAAGCAATGATACACGGTCATGCAAAGTAAAGGCAAGAGACTGAGGAACACGTGCAGGAGGTAACTGAATGATCTGAGTGTGACCCAGTAACGAAAGCATGTCATTCTGCTGTGCCACGTAGCTTATCGATGGCAAAGACGTGCGCTCGCTGCACATCCAGTGGCTTCGGGCGCAGATGGGCATCGTATCGCAAGAGCCGGTGCTCTTTGACTGCAGCATGGCCGAGAACATTGCGTATGGAGACAACTCGCGCATCGTGCCACAGGATGAGATCGTGGCTGCCGCCCGCGCCGCCAACATCCACACCTTCATTGACAGCCTCCCCGAGGTGAGACCACCCTCCACAAACACCCTCGAAGTTGGAATCCTCGTGATGGGCATATCAAGGGATGAACAGTCACAGTAAATTCACCATATGATTGAGAAATAAGCGCATGTGAGCACGCATGTGGGTCAGTTTGCTGAGATCATATTACATTGGTCATTTTCCTTGTCAGTAAAGTTGAAACTATACATTTTCATCTTGATATGAAGCTCCTGCTTCAGCAGTTTACCTGATGACAGTCGCTTGTGTTCCGATCGAAACGTCGTGATCTATTATTTTCTACCTACGTGACTTTACCAAAAGAACCAAAGAGTATGTACATTTTTATTCAGTAATGTAGGAGGCAGGGTTGGTCAATGATACAATAATGGCATTTTGGAAATCCACCTGCAAAGCAAGGTGGGACCTCTCGGAGGCATTCCAAAAAGTCAGATGTTGACCTATCCAGCAAATATTGAGTGTTTTTTAAGTCATATGCACAGGTCTTTTTCTAGACACTGCTTGTCCTATCACATCTCAAACGCAACTGATGGAAATGAGTATGGGAATGCAGTAAAGATTCTTGACTCAATATTGTGCATTGGCCCTGTGCAGAAGTACAATACAAAGGTCGGAGACAAGGGGACACAGCTGTCGGGTGGTCAGAAGCAAAGAATAGCGATTGCGAGGGCTCTCGTCCGGCAGCCCAAGATCCTCCTGCTGGATGAAGCAACGTCAGCCCTTGACACGGAGAGCGAGAAGGTGAAGATTTAACTCGTTCTTCCTCTTGCTTTCCCTCTTCCTTTGTGCACTTGCTTCATTGTATAATGCTGCACTTTCCCAAAGTGCATTATAAATAAAAACTCTATCTCATGGTAAATCATGAGCTTCGCAGGAAACCTACATTTTATCATGCTGCTGTTTTAATGGCATTTCCTGATTTTTGTTTTCAGTCACTTTTAAATTACGAACCCCCCCCCCACCCTGCTACCACTGTGCACTGTAATTGTAAAACATTGTGAATGTAGGGAGTACACTACGACGCAGCAGGTATGTGCTATTTTATGACCACGGCATCGCGTAAATGTGCCCTTGTGCATTTGTCGCTCGGCAGATTGTGCAGGAAGCACTTGACCGGGCACGGGAGGGCCGCACGTGCATCGTCATTGCGCACCGCCTCTCCACGGTGCAAACCGCCGACAAGATCGCTGTCATTCAGAACGGACAGGTTATCGAGCAGGGCACACACCAGCAGCTGCTCGCCAAAAAGGGCGCTTACCACTTGCTCGTCAATGCGCAAGTCTCTCAAATATGAGAGACTCGCCCGCAACAAATTCACTCCGTTTGTCCGTCTCCAAGGGGATGGTTGCCTTTGGGGATGTTACCGTCCCAGGCAATACCAAAAAATTTCGGCCATTAGTACAACTAGTGCTGGAGCTTCTGCAGCAGGGTCTGCTGAGCATTTAGTGTTCACTGCTGCCTTAATTTTATTGTCTTGTGTTTGGCAGCTGTCATTGCAGAGATTGCATTGTTTCCTCTAGACCTATTCCGTGCCTAGTCAACAGAGGGAGACCTCATGAAAAATTGACGTGAAACATTTCAGCCTTCCCGAGTGATTCTTTTATGCGATTCAATGTCACGGTTCTATTCGAGAATATATTATGTTTTTAAGACTCTAACTGTAGCAGCCCCTATTATCTGCTGGCCCTGAATGGGGACTCACTGTGACATGTGATTTGAAACCTTGCTACAACATGATGCCAGGGAATGTGTTCTCTGTAATTCAAATATTTACAAAGCATGGCTCAAGAGGTCAGATACTAAGCTGGCACTGCTGAGAGACTGGGTTTCATCCAAGTTTCAGTCACTCGTGATTAAACCGGCTTCTCAAGTGCAGTGAGTTGATGTTTTCAGCCAGGTTACCAATGACTGCAGAATAAAAACATCAAGTAAGGTTTGGTATGACACTGAATTTGGCAAAATTTTGCACGGAGAATGAAAATATCCCTTTGACTATCATGTGAAAACAGTAATGTCGTATCGTGGGTGGGAAAGAGCGCCCCATAGTGTCGGTAAGTGGTCACTTTCAGGGATCTAAAAAGTAGTTCTGCGATTTCTCTCACTCAGAGGGTTGCACTGCTCTGAATGGATTCTTCATTTTGTGACATGATTCCGATAGCACAATTTGGAAGAAAATTTGAAAAAAAGAAAAAAATGTCAAAATTCACAAAGCTCCGATTAGTACTGTCGGCTATGTACAGTGCGAAAGAAGTAAAAAATATATGGATACAACGCTTGTGTACATCTAGGGTGATCACAAATTGGTCACTGGATTATTTCACAAGCTAATCTTTTCTTGAAGTTGCTGAATAAATGCACATAATTTGATATGCGGTAATTTGTTTCCAGTAATTCGATAATATAATTTGTACAAGTTCTGGATGTACATGTTTCCTTTTATATTTCCTATTTCAAATACTTTATTTAAATGCAATATTTTCATATCACATAATAAAGCAATGGCATTGGAGTAAGTTGTTTTTATGTTATTGTGAATGTAATTTTCAGTTTTAATTCATTATTTCATTACGCTTGTTTATCCAAGAAAGCCTCGGTCTCAAGAATATTGTTCATTAGGGTCCTGCCAAGCTCTCACAGGAATGGGCAATGCTGCCCTGTGTTATCCCATTTGAGTAATTTCCAGACAATTTTTTTCTGCATTGGGGACGTTTGACCAATAGCAGTTACAATGCATGTTTCTTTAACCAAAGTATGAGCAGCGGCAATGTAAATGGCAAAGGAATTTGGTTCCGAGAACCGTCACTGCAGTGGTGCACACCCACAATAATCTGAACTGCTCTATAACTGCCCATTTCATTCTGGCTGTCAGCTCCTCGTGGTGCCGGACAGGCAACGCTGTCGTGGGCAGTGGCCTTTCCCCTCATGGCGTTGGTGACCACCACAGCGGCCAAATGGGGGCTCTGGACGAGTGCGAGGGGCTGGTAACCCCTCCACCTTCAATTAATTACCACTAAACCACGACGGAAAAGTTAAATAAGCTTGTGCCAGAGGCCCCGGGGGGACAGGCATCTATGATGTCTCCTGGCCAAACCCCATTTGGCGGAGCCAGGAGACTGAATCCTTGCCCTCGGGGCTCCTCCAGGAACAACAAAAAACCACTACGTGTGGCCACGTATAATGTTCGAATGCTCAGTGCGGAGGAAAGACTGCCACTCCTCTGTCGGGAGCTGGACCGGTTCCGCCTGGATCTCTGTGGTATTCAGAAGGTCTGGTGGACCGGCTCTGTTTCCTGCCACCATGAGGGGTGGACAGTCCTCTTCTTGGGGCAGGAGACTGCCAAACAACAGGGAGTGGATCTTCTTCTGAACAAAAGAATGAAGGGGGCGTGGGAGCGTGGTGGTGAGGTGTGGGAAGCTGTAAGCCCCAGGCTACTTTGGGCTCGCCTTCACATCAACCAGGGGCAAGGAGTAGTGGTCGTGGTTACTTATGCCCCCACTGAAGACAATCATCCGTGGAGGGATGCAGGCAAGGCCGATGAGTCAGATGCCTTCTATGACCTGTCAGGTGCTAGCTAAAGTGGCCCCTAGTGATAGAGTCATCTTGTTGGGTGACTTCTATGCTCGAGTTGGCCTTGATGCTGGCACCTGGTCTGGAGTGATTGGAAGGCATGGGCCAAATCAGTTCAATAATAATGGCAGGAGGCTGCTAGACTTTTGTGCAGCCCATGGGCTTGTAATTACCAACACGCTTAAATATCGATTTAAAGCTTTCGTGACTGCAAGGATTCATCTTCTTTGGTTCTTTCACGTACACCAGGCTCTCAGGGCTAATGGTTACTCCGACTACACAATCCGCAAAGCCATCACTCCAGTCATGAAGAAGGATCCTCTTGTGGAGCCACTCAAAACCATCACCTTACCCTACATTGCAGGGGTCACTAAAAAGATCTCCAAAATCCTGAATAAACACAAGATCCAGGTCCGATTCAACACAGTACATAAAATCCGTGATCTGGTTCCATCTGTAAAAGATGCTGTTCCAGAAATACAGTACCCGGGCGTTTACAAACTAAAGTGCCTCTGTGGTAGTAGCTACATTGGAGAAACCAAACGACATATCTCGGACCGCATCCGCGAACATAAAGCAGACTTGAAACACGGTAGAACGAACTCCTCTGCCGTGGCAGATCACTGTTATAATTCAGTGGGCTCACATGACATTGACTTCTCCAAGACGGAGGTTCTTTGCAAACCAACCGGCTACCATGAGAGATTCGTTCATGAGGCCATTCACATATACAAGCACAGAGACAATTTCAACCGAGAAGATGGATTCTGGCTTAGTAACCATTGGAAAGATGTTTAAACCATTTCCATTCTTAGTTAATTGTATTTTACGATGACCTTCAGACCGCAGCTCTTTCGCTGGCATTGACTCTTAATACCTCTCACACCACGGTTAATGGTATGGTTTACAACATTGAGAATACCAGCGCCTTGCAGCTGTCTCTCTCCCCCTCCTCTGTTCCGACCATGGATGAACTCGTCTGTCTGAACGGGGCTCGTAGCTATCCGTGGTGCTAAAGTTGACGGTAAGAATCCACCCATTTTTTGCCATATAGCATTGTGATATATAACGACTTATTGTTGGTAGCTTAGCTGATTGGAGAATATATAGAGTTTATTGATAACATTGAGGTAATTTATATTTTAGTTTTTTATTGGTTTACTATATAGTATTCATTATATAGTGTAGTGTATACCCAGTTACTGTTAATAGCTCAGATGTGTAGGCTTTGACTTTAACATAGCCATTTCTGTGACCAGTCACAAGCTAATCACTCAGTTATTTCAATGCTAAATTATCCTGTTTGATTTGTACTAGGTGCCTCTGTAGATGTGTAGGCTTTGACTTTAACATAACTATTTCTATGACCAGTCACAAGCTAATCCATCAGTTGTTTCAATGCTGAATTATCCTGTTTGATTTGTACTAGGTGCCTCTGTGAATGTGTATGCTTTGATTTTAACATAGCCATTTCTGTGACCAGTCACAAGCTAATCACTCAGCTATTTCAATGCTAAATTCTATGCTAATTCCTTTGTCAAGGGGTGCCTCTGTGGATGTGTATGCTTTGACTTTAACATAGCCATTTCTGTGACCAGTCACAAGCTAATCACTCAGCTATTTCAATGCTAAATTCTATGCTAATTCCTTTGTCAAGGCGCTCTGTTTCTTCTTACACAGCTTAAAGGTCACGGTCTGAGCTTGGCTTTGTTCGCTCCAGCGCTGTCCTCCAGACAGTCTCATCCCTTGTGTTGTGGCCGAAACGTCGTGAGAATTTTATTGTGTTATTTGATTTTATCAATTTATTATTTTATTCTCATTCTACGTGACTGTACCAACACGCTGTTCCGGCATCGGCGCATCCACACAGCATCATGGATGCATGCCAGGTCCAAGCAAGAACATCTGCTGGATGCGGGCCCATATCCTTGACACTAGGACCAACCGTGGAGCTGATCTGCCCACTAACCATCGATTTGTCATCTGTAAGATGCGCCTGCCATTCTTCCACTCCAGTGGTGGGTGTACACCCAGGACCCCATTCAAACCCTTAGTGGCATGGTCTCAGCTAGCTGATGAAAGTTGCAAGCGAGAATTGAATGATCGCTTGCGGCTGGGGTTGGCATCGTCCCCCACTCCTGATGTCAAGGGAAAATGGGCGAGGTTTAGGACTGTGGCTCATGCAGCTGCAATGCCTGCTTTGGGTACACGGTCCAGACCTCCCCAGAGACCCTGGCTGACAGAGGAGGTGTTCAAGCTGGCTGAGAAAAAGCGACAGGCCCACTCTCATCGGCTAAAGCATCCCACATCGGAGAATAAGGAGGATTACCGCAGCCTTCGCTCGGAGGTTCGGAGAGCCGTAAGGTGCTGCAAGGATGGGTGGTGGTCGCGGGTTGCTGAGGAGATGGAGTCTGCCTCAATGGCCCACGATCACAAATCGCTCTTTAATTCCATCAAAAAGTAACCTGCAACGCCACACCTATTACCATCAGGGGAAAGAACGGTGATCCAATCTCTGACCCCCAGGACCAGGTTTGCGGATTTGCTGAGCATTTCTGTGAGGTCCTGGGGGAGGGGACATCCCTCAGCCTGGATAATGTAGGACAAAGTGGGGATGACCCTGCCAAGGCTGCGGTGCCTAAAATATTGGAATAAGTCACCCCCTGTGAATGGCTGGCTGAGGTGCCATCTTTTGAGGAAGTACTGAACGTGATCCAGTGTCTGAGACCAGGAAAGGCACCGGGCAGAGATGATTTCCCAAGCGAAATGCTGATGGAGGTTGGCGTTTGTGCACAGACTGCCCTACATGACATCATATCAATAGTCTGGACCTCCTGGACAGCTTCCACAGGTTTGGTAGGATACCCTGGTGGTCCCCCTCTTTAAGAAGGGGGACCGCACAGACTGTAACAACTACAGGGGCATCTCACTCCTCAGTGTGCCGGGAACGGTCCTGGCAAAGATTATTCAACATCGCCTTGCTAGACACACAGAGGAGAGGCTTGCGGAGCCCCAATGAGTTTTTAGGAAAGGGCGGTCCTGCACAAATGCCACATTTTCTGTCCGTCTGCTACAGCAGAGGTGTAAGGAATTCCAAGAAGACCTACATCGCTGCTTTATTAACCTGATCAAGGCCTATGATACCATCAGTAGGCCTGGGCTCTGGCTTGTTCTTCGTGCTTTCGGAGTCCCTGACCCGCTGTTCACGACCTTCATGATGGTGAGCGGGCCCGGGTAAAACTATGTGGCCGGGAGTCGGAGCCATTCCCTGTACACCTTGGGGTGCGACAGGGATGTCCCCTGGCTGCCACATTATTCAACATCTATTCGACCACGTAGTTCATGAAGCCTTCAATAGCTGTACCGGAGGAATTTCCATCTGGTACAGATACAATGGGAGGCTGATCGATGCCCGGGTGTGGTCAAGGGATGGCTCCCTATTGCTCAACCATGTTATGTATGCCGATGATCTGGTGATTGCTGCTCACTCAGAGGATGAGTTGGAGGCGCTGCTGCTGAACCTGAAGCTTGCCACTAAGAGGTGGGGCCTAACCATCAGCCTCACCAAAACTAAGCACCTGCCTGGGTATTTTGTATCATCGGACACTCCACCCCCACAACTCCCAATTGGTGATAGGGAAGTTGTGGAGAGAGTGGAGAGTTTCCCATACCTGGGCAGTGTGCTTATGACCGGCTCCGGTTTAACGGCAGAGGTCTTACTCCGAATCAGTTGAGCGGCATTATCTTTTCATTGGTTGCGTAATGCTGTGTGGAAGCTACCTGGTCTGTCGCTGCGCACGAAGTTTCAGGTCTTCTCGGCCACAGTCATTCCCTCCCTTCTCTACGCTTGCAAAACTTAGACCCCCCTAATGGAACATCTTCGCCGGTTCGAAACATTTAGGCTGGCATGCCTATGATCCATCCTGGGTTTAACCAGGCTGTATTGTGTGAGGAGCTCACAAATCCTTGAAAGATCTGGACAAAGTCCCAACGGTGAGCTCCTATGGCAGGCAAGGCTGCGTTGGCTGGGCCATGTAGCCCGCATGCCCAGTAACCGCATGCGAAAACAGCTTTTGTTCGGCCGGATCAAGGGGGCTAAACTGGCGCAGCACGGGCTTGAGAGAAGAGATGGAGTAATGTGGTACAGGAGTATGTGGAGCTGAGTGGACTTGCCGATGACTGGTACCAGCGGTGTCAAGATCGGCCTCTGTGGAGGAGGCTCGTGAAGGATGCTACTGGGCAGTTGGAAGCAGTCGCCCTCCAACAACAACGGAGGACGGAGGAGCGATGCTCACAACAACGAGCGGAGCACCGAGTGGCTAAAGCACAGCAAGTTGGCACAGTAGGGGGCATAGGTGGTATATCAGCCAGTCGTCTCAGCCAGTCGACCCGTGGGCACCTGGGTCTGCCCCGTGACCTCCTGCCAGTGGGCATTCGACACTTCACGTGGCCGCAAGGTGCACATAGCCTGGTACAAGCGTCGTGGTGATGTCACCCCCACTTATTGGCGAATGGCGGTTGTTGTTGCTTTACAGCTCTCCTGTGTGTGCTTGGGGGTCTACCACCTGTTGTTCAGCACGATGTCCAATGTTTTGCTCCACGTACTGAGGGCTTCTTCAGAAACTGCTATTGGAACTCAAGAAGCTCCCAGCACCTGGAGTAAAACGTCGGACATCGTACTGAACAACATGTGACAACTCAAAAAAACACCTTGTAGAGCTATTGTATGTTGTACATTCATCCCTAACACCCTCGGTGATCGAACAGATGTTGACAAAACGTGTCAATTGTATTAAAATAATTGTTCCATCTTCATTTTATATTTGTTAAATGTTCATAACTATATATACAGTATATCAAACATGATTATGTTAATTATATATGTGTATATGTATATCATATGGGTGTATATACTGTATGTGTGGATATCCACATATATAGTGAAAACATACAGTACATGTTTGTGTTTATTTATATGTCCCTGACACCAGTTAAACGCTATCCCCAAATTTGGATCGTAAGACAAATGATCAATACATATTCCCTTTCAACCACTGTATTTCCTAAACTACTATAATCAGAAAAGGAAAGCATGAAACGATTACATTTATAATGTAATATTCACCATTAAATGAAAACATTCCCGAAATTAAAAAGTAAATTAATTTGTAAGTGAAACTACTCAAGTTTACACCATTACAATGTGTAATGACAAGGGAACTGAAGCCATATAATGGTTTTACAATTTATAAAGGCATTGAGATTGAAATAAAAGCAATATATGAATACATTACTTAATTACAAAGTTTGATTATTTGTGAATGTAATCTGTCGATAAGTTGTTTGCCACCGTTTGAGCAGAATAGGAACTTTACACGTAGTTTTTTAAAGTAATTGTTTTACTTATGTGTATAAAACGTCTGCATAGTTTTCAAGCACTATAAGCTGCATACTTCAGTATACTAATGCAGTCCGTGTATTCGCCTATGAACCAGGCCTCAAATTCATTACAAGGTTCCACAATTTATTGTGGCCATCATCGGGGGTTACGCGTTACAGTTTATAACACACGAGGTGATTCTTGAAGAAGAGGGCTCGGATCGTGCGACTGCGAGCTTCCTTCGCGTGGCGGTATCTTTTGTACTTTCCCGTGTTTCCATCCTTGGGGGCGTGGTCGATGGAGATGTCGCTACACGTCCCCACTCTCAGCTGTCCCAGGCCATCGATAAAAAACTCTGTTCAACGGCCAAGAGGAAACAACACAAGAGATAATTGACGATGAAATTGTGCAGCAGATTGGAGAGCCTCAGTGCACCCAGGCACTTGTCCAATTACCGATTAACTAGCACACCTACTGTGTCGCGAAAAATGTGCACATGCCTTAATTCTCAGTCCGAATTTGCTTTTAAATTAAGAAGATTTGGCCTTGCGCGATTCTGCCTGATGAATGAATCAGAGGATGACTTATTCAGTAAATTAGTTTTGTGTCTCCCATCAAACAAATGCAATCAAAATCTATTCCAGGCACTGGCAGAACCACAAAAGAAGCCAATTTTATTTGGTGCCTCTTCAAATTAAGCGTAATAATGAAATAAATTAACAGGTAAATGAGTCTATATCATCAATTATGTAAATAATATTTATGCATTGACTACATGGTCTTCGAGATTCGAGTATCTCTGGAGCTTTCACATGGAGACAGCCCTTCATGTTCCAAAGCAGTGACCTTGAACAAACAGCACTTGTGAATGTTAGTTCTTCACCAAAGTGTACTCTCCCAATTAGCACGGTTGGTTTTGTATGGTGAGAAAAAAGTTAAACATACGAAGTCCCCATACCGGTGTGACCAATCCGATTGAAGTGGGGGTCAAAGCCGATCCTGCGAATGTTCTCAGTGCGGGCCACAAAGAAGTTTGCCACCACGTCCACCAATGAGCATGTCGGGAAGCCGTCCAGTTTGCGGTAGGAGCCCAACGTGCGGTACAAGCAGTCTCCATCCGAGCCTCCAGGCACCACCTTAAGCACGTGCCCAAAGGCGTTCTTGACTAACAGGCCACCCACCTTCCCGACAGAAAAAAAAAAATTATTACCATAAAGGTCATCTGCATTTGACCCTGTGACCTTTCACATATCACTGTGAGTCGAAGCAGACGCACCACATCCAGCGAATTCTTCTCCAGCACCTCCACCATGCGCTCCAGATTCGTATTCTCCGAGAAGAGGAAGTCGTCATCCACCCACAGCAGGTACTTGGTGCTCACCTGAGAGATGGCGAGGTTCCTGCCGGCAAACCAGCCCTGCACATAGGACCACAGAGTGGAATCTTTAAGCGATGATGTTTTACAGTTTGCTTATTGAACGTTAATTTTGCGCATGCATTTTGTTTGTACGGTTCTCAGCTAACTTGGTTGTTAAAAAGGAAAAGGTGCAGCCCTGTAACTGATTGCCCACACCACTATCGGCAGAAGGGCCTCCAGTCGGACCTCTAGGGAGGGCCTTTACACGCTGGACGGCCATCTTGGATGAGGTGGTAGTGCCCACACATAACTTGCTAATCGACTGTGGTGTACCCATTTATACTACTAGGTAGACAGGGGCATGTGGCTTTAAATGTTTACCCAGTGCTCCAAATGCCATGCCGGGAGATCGAACCGGTGACCTCTGGATTGTAAATCCAGTGTTCTAACCATGAGGAAGTTTGGAGTAGGGGTTGATTCTTACGTATTTAAAAATATATATCGCAGTTCACAAATGAGGGTGACCGCATGTTTGTAATTGGTGCCGACCTTCCCAAAAGGCATGATAAACTGCTCAACGCCCGGCTCGTGAAGCATCTCAACATCCTCGGAGTCATCCGCCACGATGATGGTGATGTCTGGGTAGAATCTCCGGATGCTGGCGATAAGCCCCTTCAGCTTGTCGTAGCGCAAGAACGTCTTGGTCACCACCGTCACCAGGTTGCTGATATTACCATCTGCCAGGCCAGCAAAATATCTCTATGAATCCCAGCCCTAATGATGTATTTGTAACGTTATATAGACAAACATGATAAAAATGTGCTTAAATGCTGGTTGTAACAAGTACACTTAGACATTCATGCGCAATCATGGTAATGTTCACAACAAATCTCACCAGGACCCGGGTCATAGAGCCAGGGCAAGCTCTGGTGTGCTACAACGATCGGTATCTCAGCTCTGTGTTTCCCGCTCTCCAGCTGCACTGTGGACAGAGAGACCGGGAAGGAGAGCAGCGATCAAGTCAGCGGAGCGCGCCGGCACGCGCGGTCCACGGTGCCGTGGTTGGACGTTCACGCAGGGCGTGTGTCGCTTCTCGCCGTACCCATCTCGGAGGTGCCCGGCTGGTACACCGTGTTGGTGTACGTGACCGTGCGCAACTGTAGGTTGAGGTTCTCCAGGTGGGGGCTGCTCAGGGAGAGGCGCGACTCGCCTGACCCCTCTGCCGTCACCTCTCCCACCTCCGCCACCGTGTCCAGCACCCCCAGCTTCGCGGACAGCGTCACCTGGGGGGGACAGACAACCATTGTCGACAACTCTCGTGGTCACCTACCACTGATGCAGCTCCAATGTTTTAAGATAATGGAAACCCAGGAACTATCAAGGAGGCCAGTTGGATCGTTGATCGGATGCCATGTATTTTATCAGCGTACTAGATAACTTACTGTATTGAATATTAGATTGCAGAACAGGAGACTTGAATGTCGCTGGGGTTACGTTCTTGAAAAGTACCACAAAAGCCAAAACCGCGATATTCAATACTTTAAGGCTTACCTAAATAATGGGATTAGGTACACGGCAACCAACAAAAGACACATCACAATTGAAATAAGTACTACTGTATGCCAAATAAACCAAAAACAAAATTATTTAAATAAACACGTAAAAGGTCTATACAAAAAAATCCTAGGAAATAAATAGGAGTATAAATATTGAATACTGTACTTACCGATGACGATGATCCAAAGTGGGGATGTGTGTGTTTGTGTAAACATCGCGGCTCGGGGACAAATGCGGCTAGGCGTGGTGTTGGCCACCCACCCCCTCGTGTGCCGTGCCAACCTTCATAGGTGCTCTCTAACAACATTTGCCCCAACAGTCTGTTAATAGGCTATACGGTGGGGGGGGGGGGGTTTGTGTTTGGCCGCGAGATGCTTGCATGGCAAAGGTTGATGTGCGTCCCTCGCACGGCCCTGCCCTGCACCACGTTTATCAGCCAATGATGATACAGTACAATATACCTAAAAAAGGCCACAACTAACCCGCGCAATAGCTAAATTGGTATACAGAGAGGTTGCCCGCGAGAGGTCGAAACTGCGAATTGTAAACCCGCGATATTCAAGGGTCTCCTTTACAATAAACTGATTTCTGCCCTGTGTGGGGTTTCTCCATGAACTCTGGATATCTACCACATACAAAATAATCACTATTAAATGGACAAACATCAGATCATTATCATCTTAAGCGATTACCTATTCACTGGTGGGTGAAGTAAAATTTACTTTATGCTGACAAATCATAGATAGTGCAAGCAAAACCATTGTGATAACAAGCCTCAGTGGAGGTTTATTTGGTAAACATATGACTCTTATAATATTAGAATCATACCATTATTTCATACACAATCTGTATCATCTGTAGTAATTATTATTTGTAATAATGTTATATTATACATCATCTATTTACAAAATTACACGATTCAGTCCCATAGTATGGCACGTACTGACCTTGTATATGTTTCTTGTATCTGCAAACAAACTTAACCCTATGAAAATGAAGAATGGAAAAAAAACAAAATCAATGTTTAATCATTGGCTGCGCTTGAAGTGATGCTATTCAAATTGAAATGTAAACATTACAGCCGAGGATTACACATCGACCAATACAGGGGCTGAGCCATCAGTTCAGTTGGAGAATTGGCACTGACCCAAGTTTTGGCTAAAAAAGCAGATTGGTTCAGATGAATGGATATGCCATCCAGGGAATTCAATTGATGGGACAAAAGATAATTATTTTAACAGATCATGACGATCCAAAAAGTAAATAAAGACACAGCAAATCAATGCCCACCATATGAATTATGTCTCAAGGTTTTGTCCTGAAGAAGCAAGACTGTATCAGTGTAAGCAGCTCACTTTGCTTTGTAGAAATTATTATCGTGGCTTTGATTCAGACACTATAAGTGTCACTTTGATGCCTTTTTACACAATGGCTGGGCGATGTTGACTTTGGGGAAATGGGCCAAGGATGGTTCGTGAAGCTGATAAGGGGCTTTCTCTGTCATCGTTTGAGAGGAAGCAGAGGTCCGGATTGTGGTATGTTCCACCTTGCAAGAGTGGAAAGTAGTGGATTGTTTGGGGTCAAAGAGCAGGTGGACATTTCAAATCGACGCCCAGTCTGCAAGCTGCCCACCTGCTCTATTCAGCTAGTAGACATGGAAGATTGGCCCTGTCGACCCAGTGGTGCTGACGAGGACCATTTATTACATTTTCAATTGTAGCGGGAGATCAATGTTCCGGCATGCAGAAGTGGCCTCTTGACAACATTTATTGTGTTGAAGAGCAACACATTACGTGCAGGAACAGAAACACTTAACATGAGCACCGTGATAAGGTTTTCATCTTACTCAAAATAGATAGTTTTTAGGTCATGCTCACATGTAATTAAATATATAATAAAGTATTGTCCTTGGGCAAGTCTTAACCAAGGATTATATTGAAGAGCCAGGTTAAGCTCTTGTGTGCAGACCATCCTCATACCGTGCCTCTCACCCGGTATGAGGATGGTCTGGAGTGGTGGCACCTGCAGCCCCTGAGTCGGGTAAGAGAGTGGCGAGTTGGGCTCTGCCACCAGCACCTTCTTCAGAACAGTGTCCTGCCTGTGGGGCAAACCGTTTTAATCTTTTAACTTTTATTTCGCGTTTTCTTATACACTTGCATCCATACCAATAAACACAATTGTATCACGTCTCCACGATATACACCATTCAATTGTTTCCCCGCATGATATTGGTACAGAAGCATGAACTATTTGTTTTTTAACATTTGCCAAGCACAGGCCCAATGACCGAACATGTCAAGTGGGCAACATGCCCACCAACAAACACAGTAATGTATCCAAACACAGTGATGTATTTACTAAATCCTACCTGTCGCACCCACAGTTTGTCGTTAGGATGTCAATGAAGATGAGTGACATTGCTCTAATGATTTGGAATTGATGGAATGAATGTTGGTAAGAAGGAAAATTGTCTGTACAATGAATGGAAGACAGCTCAATTCAGACAGGATGGAAGGGGTTTGAGCCAAATACATACTATTGTTGATCTTTCCACCCATGGTGAGGACTTCTAAGTCTGCCAGACTGATTATTTAGTTTTATCCACCCTGTGGTCAACCACCACACCACACTGCTATTTCTGCTTCTCTTCTGGCAATGTTCTACAGTACTTTGGAATTCCCTCCTATCATCCCTTTTCTCAAGCTCTTATATAACCTTGCTCAATTCAACAAAAGTGTTCATTCTTAACAAAAACAACTTTAACAGTTATGTTTATTTATGGAAACTTGGCATTTGTGCTCAGTAACTGTGTAAAAAAGGGTAAAATACTAAAAAAGAAGATGTGGAGGGTGTCACATCGCAGCGTACCTGTGCAGGAATTCTTGCATTTCCTTCTGTCTCCTCTGGCGCGTGCCCTCCATTTCGGAGGGCGAGAACCATTTCTCGAGCTTCAGGGCCTTCCGGCCCTTACAGGAGCACGAACCAGAGGGCAGTAGCCTGCACACCACCACCACCACTATACCATTACTCTATGACCCATTTCCACTTTTGTATTTCTCAATCCATACGTAATAGACGTGTAGTGACCCATGGTGCCATTTTACTGGAGCTAACACACTCCTCTGTCTGAGTTTCCAGCTGCATATGACATGCAGGTGGTTTGTCGATTAACGTTTGGAATGAGAAAATATGAATGCATCATCAATTCTGTCCCACTGTCACCAGACCAAATCTGGCCATATATTCTATCTATCTGGTGGAGGAAGCTCTCATGATGCTCCGGTACAACGGTTAAAGTGATACTATAAAACTTCAGGTGGAGTTTATCACACCAATAAATAGGAGCAATGAATCTCCCTCACATCAACATTAGGTGTTTCACATGCACACGTTTTATGTATACATGATTTACCAGGTAAGCGAAAAGGCCATATTGACATTATGTGCTGACTTTAATTTTCTCATGAGATCAGCTCGACATCTTAGCCACAAGGCACTGATGTAGATGCACAGTAGCCACCACAATTTTACATTCAGGTGGTCAAGTCAGACAACCGCATCAGGAGTAGCTGAGTGTAATCGCTGTAATGTTTCCTTCGTATTTGTGGATCGGACATTGCTGTATGTTGTTTAGTCTGTTCTAAATGACCATCATACCCCCCCTCCCCGGTGAGTTTTAAATTTCTCATTTGTGCATCAGGTATCTGCCATGGTTTGTGCGGACATGGTTTAAGGTGAACCATGAGCTTCGTGAAAGATCAAACCCAGGAATCTTCTGCGTTGGGTTTTTCACAAGGTGTTCGTTTGCGAGTTCATTTGAACTCCATTCAACTACGGCACTGACACTCACCGCTGTACGCTGGGCTTGAGGCGGTAGTGGACTTGCATGTCGTTAGGTAACAGCTGAGTGTGGTCCGAGAGGTTCATCGGGAACGACTGCTCGTACCACCGCTGCCCGGTAAATTTCAGGGACTTCACGCTCGGCAACGTAGCAAGGTGCACGTACTTGTACACACTCGGCGCGGATATTGTGAAGATGATGACAGACATCAGTGTCGCGACAGCGAGCATGCTCAACAGCGTCAGTTTCTTCATGCTACACGTGGAGGAGGAGTTAAACAAGAATTGAGATCACATAACATAATGTGCCAAAGCATTAATTTGCATTATTCCGAAAAACTAATTTTAAACATTTAATTATTTTGTAATTCATGAGGCCTCCTTTGCCAGTACCAAAATATAAGAATAGGTTTTTCCCCTTTTTTTCTGGCAACAAAACTGAAACCTTTTGACAAGGAATCATGTCTGCATACTTGTGGTCAGAATGAAAAAAAACCTCTGATAATATATGCATTGTCCTTGAAACTGATTGGTCTACACCAAAGAAAGCTTTTTGTTTGCATTCTGACCACAAGTATTGTGGTTAATGCAGACATGATTTCTTGTAAAAAAAGGTTTCAGTTTTGTTGCCAGAAAAAAAGGGGGAAAACCCTATTATTATATTTTGTACTTGTTTCTTCCTTTTCGGGTCGTGACAATGAAGAATGTGTTGAGTTGCTTGTTAATTGTGCTTGTGCACAAATGTCAACACAGTATTATCACTAAAAAACCCCATTATGATTTAACCATATAGGTGCGAGCCCATTAAGACGGGTGTCTTAGGTAAAAGTTTGTACAAGTGCAACTAACTTCTGCGTTAGATAATATATGTATGTTGAACTTATTTTGCACCGTACATAGCCAACCATGCTCATCAGACGTATATAATGTGTACAATACGGTACTAGGCTTTTGCGGGAAAAAATGTTTTATTTTCTCGGTAGAAATAAGATTGTCTTTCTATAAAATACAAAGGTCCCCCCGTTTAGCCTTAACAGACTGTTGGGGCGAGTGCTGTTAGCGAGCACCTATGAAGGCCGACACAGCACAACGAGGGGGTGGGTGGCCAACACCACGCCCGACAACCTTTGTCTCCCGAGTGGCGATATTTACCACACAACGCATTTAAAATAATCGTCACTTATGTTGGCTGTGAACGGGAATCGAACTCGGGTGGCCAGGTTGGTGGTTGGCAGTGCAACGCACCCAGACACACGTAGTAAGCTGAGAGCACGGCCGCTTTACAACGGAGCCGAAACACGGCTCATTTCATCAACCTCCAGTTTGTATTTGCATTGACGCTCAAAGAAATGAGAGAAGGGGTTTTGGTCTATTGTCACGAGCAATGACCGATTAACAACCGAGAAATTAAATGTGCCCGACAGGGCGTCTGGCGTAAAGATGGAACCATGACATCTGCTCGTGTGAAAGGTGCGAGGGTGAATTTTTTTTATACATTGCAGGGTCACGAAGAGGTAACGGCGGCTTGGGGAGGCCTTCATCCAGCAGTGGATTGACCATGGCTGATGATGATGACGATGACAGGCCTACTCCAAGTGACGTGAAAGAGGCAACGTATCTGCCAACTCTGACGAGCAATGAAGCTACGTTAACCTCTTGGCACTGAACAAGTGATATCAATTCCTCATACCCATGGCGTGAGCCAGTCCATCCACGGTTTACTTTTCAAAGGATGACAATTTCTACAGATCCAGTTATATGGGTAGATTGACATTTAAACAGCAGTGTTATTGATGTTGATAGAATATTTCAGATGCGTTCGTACACCCACACATAGCTTACGTTTTAATATTTACATGTTATTGGTAAATGTAAAATTACCTTTAATAAACTGCCTTAAAATGTAATGTTAAGCTGTGCACAACTACCTTGACGGTGATGTCCAAGAGATGAAAAAAGTACGATCACTTGGAATGTCCACCTTCAATGTGACACATCACAGATGGAATTGTTATTTTATGGGTGTGGGGGCGGGTGAAAAGGGTGTACTTGCATTGTGGACGAAACCCCCTTTATGATATGTCCTGGTTGTGGCACTGGTGTATACAAAATAACCTGCCGCATGTGGGATTTAGTCTTCACGCACTATTACACACATTGCTTGTAAAACATTCATATAATATACCTCACTGATAGGATAAATCCGTATAATCGTGCATTTTTTTCCGTGATTACTCAGTTGAAGAAAGCAAATTTGGCTTCATACTCAAAAGGGCATTGGGGTGGCACTCAACGCCACTTGTGGCCGACTTATCTTTCTGTAGTCAATGTGACATCTCAAATCTGTTTGTTTTCTTTGATCCATTAATTCTTCTTTCTGTCTTTGAGTGTAATTCTACTTGTAAACATATCTGATATATATCCTAGCCTGTTTACCTCATAGTTGAATGATGACCTTATGTCTGTGCTATGTTTTGTCCAAATTAATTTTACTACGAATGCTCTAAGGGAGTTTTAAAACTGTATTCGGGTATGATAGTAAAACCCAAATAAAGTTACAAACGGGATTTTAATCAAGGCCACATAAATATATAAGTTCTAAAGTTAGTTTGACCAAGCCAACTTATGTTACGGAACATTTTCTTTAACTTTCTATTAATATATGTGCAATATTTTATATTATTCTGAAACCATGGTTGATCTTCTCCAAGTTTGTATTATTTTTATTCCTGTATATTGATCCCTTTTCGTTACTTTGGTGCCCAAGTCACTCTTACAATGGAGACTATCCTGCTCTCCTGAGTTCTCGCATGGTTAAAAATAAAAATTCCCAACATGCGCCTATCGGTGCTTCTTTGCACGCCTTTCAGTTTTTGCTTCAAATGTTGGTCAGTGTCTGTGCTTTTAATTCATATGTATTAGCATGTGATATATACTGATATCATTATTATTTTTTTAGAGACAATGGTATTGTTTTTCATTACAAAGTTCATTGTTTCAAAAGTACTCGAACCTGCACTTACCTATTTGATCTTTGAGCTTGGTCCACATTCTGGAATTTCCCTATGTATAAATACTAGATTTTGACAGACATGTTCCTTTAACAAATATACAGTATTCAATTGTTGAGCCAACTTATTGTACGTGACTTTAGTAACCAATGGAAATATGTAAGAGGATGAAAGAATTGCTTGATAAAGAAGGCTGTAAAGTTGCGCTCGAGAGAAATATGATCAACCACCAGTCCTTCAAAGTGGAGCTCATTGTATCATCCCTACTGACGAAGGGCCGAATTGACCCCTCTCACCGCTGGCACCACCCCACCGGATTCTGGTTGCATAGGTGGTATACGAGACTGTACAGTGGCGTGGGCTTTTGTGGAACGTGCAGCAACAGAACAACGATATGGCAGTGTTTATTGCGGACAGGTGACACGACAGCCCTTGGTGGTTCGCGTGACACTCACATTTTTTCTTAAAGATTTAAATGGAAAAACGGCACTTAACAAACCAATAGCCCTGAATTGTCTAAATTCTTAGGCAACATTTATTCCACGTTCATTTAACATTTACTGTGTCGTACCCGCTCCCACCCCCGTTCTGAGCGTTCGTTGATGGACATGCCACATGCAGTGGCTTAAAGTGTGCATACGCTCACTTCTTCCTACAAATTTGGTCTAAAAGGAATAGGAGACAAAGTATCCTCGAGAGTTTGCTGTCGTGGAGGTGCTTCTGCCAGCATTGGTGTGAAAAGGCAATTGCAAGACGGTACCATGAATAACCGTTACCAAATAAAGTTATCTTAATTCCTGCATGCATTATTACATCTTTAATGATAAATAGTTGTGCAAACGGAATGGAACTTGTGCGAGTGAAACGTCACTGCAGTGGTGCACTTCTACAAAAACCTGAGAAGCTCAATTACTGCCCATTTCATTCTGGGCATCATCTCGAAGCCAATGCGTGCAATTTTGCAGTGTGCTGTACGTGTTCACGTCTGTGCTGTGAAGCTCTTCGATGTGTGTTCTGTTTCTACCATCTATCGTTTGGCATGCCCGACGTTTTTCTCCATGTGCTGGAACCTTCAATGCTCCTGAAGAAGCCCCCAGCACGTGGATCAAAACGTCGGACATCATGCCAAATAACAACATAGTACAACCAGTGAACACATAGCAGAGTTAATGTACTTTGGGAAATTGCTCACGGTTATCCAACATACTGACTTAATATTCAATAACGAATTTATTCAACCAATCTTGAAACAAATGCGATTAGAATTGGCAATCATTGTATGCCTGCAAGATGTCCATAACTATAGAATATAAAAAAGCAAAATAATATAAATTATACTGTATATGTGTGTATATTCGTGTATATGGGTGTGTGTATATCCATTGTGTATGTGCACATATACAGTATACTGAATACAAGTGTAAGGGACACGATGCACTCTCCACTAATTAAAAATAAACCAACCTGAGGGCCAAAAGAGGAGTTACCAACTATAATCATGCATTATAAACATTACACATTTTGACATTCCCCATTAAACTAATAAATACATGAAAGATACATTAACATGATAAGTAAAACAACTCAATATTACATAACTGGATGCTGTAATAAGGAATATAAAGATGTTTGTTTACAATTGAGAGCAGCATTGAAATGTAATTAAAGGCAATATTGACTACTTAATTAGAAAGTTGTATTATTTATATTACAAAATCATTTTATATTACAAAATCAATAAAAAATATTTTTTTACTCTTGTAATTTTACTAATGTAAAGTGTTGGTAAGTTCTTCTTTGGTTCTTTCGGTAAAATCACGTAGAATGAGAATAAAATAATAAATTGATAAAATAAAATAACACAATAATATTCTCACAACGTTTCGGCCACAACACAAGCGGCCTTCATCAGGTGAAGGGACGAGACTGTCTGGAGGACAGCGCTGGAGTGAAAAAGCCACGCTCAGATCGCGACCTTTAAGCTGTGTGAGAAGAAACAAAGCGCCTTGACAAAGGAATTAGCATAGAAAGACCACAGCTCTTTCGCTGGCATTGACTATTAATACGTCTCACACCACGGTTAATGGTATGGTTTACAACATGGAGTATAACAGCGCCTCGCAGCTGTCTCTCTCCCCCTCCTCTGTTGACTATTAATACCTCTCACACCACGGTTAATGGTATGGTTTACAACATGGAGTATAACAGCGCCTCGCAGCTGTCTCTCTCCCCCTCCTCTGTTCCGACCATGGATGAACTCGTCCGTCTGAACGGGGCCCGTAGCTATCCGTGTTGCTAAAGTTCAGGGTAAGAATCCACCCATTTTTTTCGCCATATAGCATTGTGATATATAACGACTTATTGTTGGTAGCTTAGCTGATTGGAGAATATATAGAGTTTATTGATAACATTGAAGTAATTTATATTTTAGTTTTTTATGGGTTCACTATGTAGTGTTCATTATATATTGTAGTGTATACCCAGTTACTGTGAATAGCTCAGATGTGTAGGCCTTGACTTCAACATAGCCATTTCTGTGACCTAATCACTCAGTTATTTCTATGCTAAATTCGCCTAGTTATTTCAAAGCTAAATTCTCCTGTTTGATTTATACTAGGGCCTCTGTGAATGTGTATGCTCTGACTTTAACATAGCTATTTCTGTGACCAGTTACAAGCTAATCACTCAGCTATTTCAATGCTAAATTCTATGCTAATTCCTTTGTCAAGGGGTGCCTCTGCGGATGTGTATACTTTAACTTAGCTATTTTAATGCTAAATTCTATGCTAATTCCTTTGTCAAGGGGTGCCTCTGCGGATGTGTATGCTTTAACTTTAACATAGCCATTTCTGTAACCAGTCACAAGCTAATCACTCAGCCATTTCAATGCTAAATTCTATGCTAATTCCTTTGTCAAGGCGCTTTGTTTCTTCTCACACAGCTTAAAGGTCGCGATCTGAGCGTGGCTTTTTCACTCCAGCGCTGTCCTCCAGACAGTCTCGTCCCTTCACCTGATGAAGGCCGCTTGTGTTGTGGCCGAAACGTCGTGAGAATATTATTGTGTTATTTTATTTTATCAATTTATTATTTATTCTCATTCTACGTGACTTTACCGAAAGAACCAAAGAAGATGAATCCTTGCAGTCACGAAAGCTTTAAATCGAAATGTTGGTAAGTTGTGTGGCACCTTTCAAGTCTTTAAGAAATGTAGTGTTCCATGTGCATTATGGATATCCATTTTATGAAGGTTTAACAAAAATATTAGATAGTATTGTTGCACTTTGCATTGCATAGCCTAGTATTCATATTTAGTAAACGTATTCACTTATGAGCCAGGCCTCCATTCCCATTGCAGCTTCCACCATTCCTTGTAGCCATCATTAGAAGGCACTACATTAAGTAGCACTTAAGGTGATTCTTGAAGAACAGAGCACGGATCGTGCGGCCGTGAGCTTCCTTGTCGTGGCGAAAGTGGTTGTACTTGGCTGCGTTTCCCTTCTTGGGAGCGTGGTCGATGGAGATGTCGCTGCACGTCCCCACTCTGAGCTTTCCCAGACCATCGATAAAAAACTCTGTTCAGCAAAGCCAGGGAAGACAACACGCAAATGTTTCGGTGATAAGAGCGGTGACATGGCCCAGCGATAGTGTCGAAGGGGACTACAGTTGGAGCTGAGCGCTCACCTTATGTACGTATGCATGTTGAAGTTCTTTTGCACTGTACATAGCCAACTGAGCTAATCAGAGGTGCGCGGGTAGGACAACGAGCTAAACATAAAAAGCAATTCTAAAAAAATAGTGGGTGTATCAACCATAAAATATGCACCGTCTGCTTCACAGTGGATGGTACAGGTCCACTGAAGTCATTAGAATTGAGTTGAGTAGGCTAATATTCAGTATGCCAATATGTACTGGCATTATGGTCCAAATGATTTCAAATTAGGAAAATTACCTGCAAAATACTGAGTACAATTATACTAACACAATAATCGCTCCTACTTGCAGACCGTGTGCAGGCCAGGGGCTCGGTCCGCTTGTGCCCACAGTGACTGATGTACGTAGCTTTGCACGTGTAGAGCACTCTTGAGATGCATCAGCGTTAAAGCCGCTATGTCGAACACAAATAATTATAATAATAATAGGGTTGTTCCCCTTTTTTCTGGCAACAAAACTGAAACCTTTTTACAAGGATTCATGTCTGCATTAACCACAATACTTTCAGTAAAATTCAAACAAAAAACACTGATAATATATGCATTGTCCTTGAAACTGATTGGTCCACACCAGAGACAGCTTTCTTTAGAGCCTCATCTCAATTGGTGCTCGACCAGATGACGCCAAAAGGCGTTCAGCTCAAAGACAATGCACTATCAAAGTAATGAGGGCTCGGGGTAAGCATCTACATCATTAGACCTCCTTTGCCAGTACCAAATAATTATATTATTATGGTCTATGCCAGCGGTCCCCAACCTTTTTGGCACCAGGGACCGGTTTCGTGGAAGACAAACGTCTCCAGCGACGTTTGTTTTTTACTCATTTTGGCTACTAGGGGTTAGCTTGTGGGCTTACCAAAACCGTGACTGAGACAAGTGCGCAGTGCGGGAAAGAGGCGCGGACGGAAGTGGTGAATAATAAAATAATGGGGGCGGGCCACGCGCGGACTCACCGCTCTCACCTCCTGCTGTGTGGCCCGGTTCCTAACAGATCACGGACTGGTACCGGTCCGCAGCCCGGGGGTTCGGGACCCCTGGTCTATGCAATAGGTTATAGTGCTCAGGTGCTCCCAATCACATGTCCACTTCCTGGTAAATTACTGGTTAACAAGCAAATAGATTCATAGTATAGATTTTTGGGTTAGATCACGTAAATATATAAATGTGTCGTTAAAATCCGCCACCACCCGACAGCCAACTAGTAAGGGTTGTTACGTAAACAGAACATGCCAATTCGTCACTAGTACAGCACACCAGTGTGTTGGAGAGCCAAACCACAACATTTACAATCTGAGTACGACGTTTCGCCAGTAATTACAACTAGCTTCATCAGGCGACAGACAGATTTGTGGAGAAGTCTTACTGTTTCGTTCCTTATATAGAGGCATAGATGTGTTGACCACGCTTTTGCGCGAGCCCTTTGAACTTGTCCTTCCTGTCTATTGTGTTTATTCAAATAGCCCACCAACGGTAATCTCTATTGAAGTACGGTGCCCTTTGTAGACATGCATTTAAATAATGTTAAACAAAGCAAACCGATTGCTTTATTTTATGTTTTCAAACTGATTTCAGCAGTGCTTGATGAATGAGGCAATAAATTAACCCGTAAATTAGCCTTGTGTTGTTCCCTGTCCCCCCTCCTTCCTGCTTCTCACTCAGGGTGGGTCTTGATGTAGCTATTAACTCACTCATTGCCTCGCCATAGAGAAATACAGATTCCAGCAGAACACTCGGTCATAAAGCTTGAGGTGTAGTGTTTAAAATAATATAAAATTTTAGTTCGGTGATAGGTAAACAGACACACGAGTTTGTATAATCAATTATGGACAATACAATTCCATACATTGACTAAATGGAATTCCAGATCAGCATATCTCAGTGGATTTCACGTGGATGAAACGTCGATATTCCAAAGCAGAGCACGTGAATGGTGAGCATTCGTGAGCGCCAGTTGCTCACCACTTTCCACGTACCTGTGTGACCGATGCGACTGAACTGGGGGTCGAAGCTGACTCTCCGCATGTTCTCGGTGCGGGCCAGGAAGAAGTTCACCACCACGTCCACCAGTGTACAGGCGGGGAAGCCGTCCAGTTTGTGGTAAGAGCCCGAATGGCGGTACAAGCAGTCTCCGTCTGAGCCTCCAGGTACCACCATGAGCTTGTGCTGAAAGGCGTTCTTGCCCACAACGCCACCCACCTTCCAGACAGCAAAAAAAACACAATTATTAACACAAAGAGCATGTGCATTTTACGTTGCGACTCTTCACACATCACTGGGAGTTGAAGCAGACGCACCACATCCAGGGAAGTCTTCTCCAGCACTTCCACCATGCGCTCCAACTTCGTATTCTCCGAGAAGAGGAAGTCATCATCCACCCACAGCAGGTACTTGGTCATCACCTGGGAGATGGCGAGGTTCCTGCCGGCAAACCAGCCCTGCACATAGGACCGCAGAGTGTAAGCTTTAAGAAACAATTATTTGCTTATGGAAAGACAATTTTGTACGTGCATTTTGGTCGTATGATTCTACGCTAAAAAAAGATGCGGCTCTGCAATTTCCTGCTCACGCCACTGCTGGCAGAAGGGCCTCCACTAGAGGCAGCTCTATAAAGACCCTGTATGAGGTGTTGTTTCTACTCTTCTATGCTGGTCAGCCAACTTGGAAAAAGTTGGAGTACCCACCCGTTACCCCACCGCACGTGACCTGCTGATCGACTGTGGAGTACTCATTTATACTGCTGTGTAGATCGAGGTGAGGTATATTCTTTTTAAGTCCAGTTTTCAACTACTAAGCCAGGAGATGGAGCCAGGGACCTCTGGTTTGCAAGTCCAGTTTTTTTTACAATTACACCACATCAGCATCCATACCTTGGTTGAGTTGTGTACGCCACACATCAGGAACTTTTGAGTAGGGGTTGATTCTTATGAACTTTAAACATCTATTTATCTTCCAGTTTACAAATGAGAGCGACCGCGTGTTTATAATTATAATTGGTTGCTTACCTTCCCATAAGGCATGATGTACTGCTCCACGCCTGGCTCATGGAGCACCTCGACGTGCTCGGAGTCATCCGCCACTATGATGTTCATGTCTGGGTAGAATCTCCGGATGCTGGCGATGAGCCCCTTCAGCTTGTCATAGCGCAAGAACGTCTTAGTCACTACCGTCACCAGGTTGCTGATTTTACCATCTGCCAGGCCAGAAAAATAGCTCTGTGAATCACAGCTCTGATTACGTATTTGTAATGTTATATACACTAGCATGATAACACGTGCTTTAATGCTGGTTGTAAAAAGTACAATTAGAAATTCATGCTCAATCATAGTAATGTTTCCTTCACAACAAATCTCACCAGGACCCGGGTCGTAGAGCCAGGGCAAGCTCTGGTGTGCTACAACGATCGGTATCTCAGCTCTGTGTTTCCCGCTCTCCAGCTGCACTGTGGACAGAGAGACCGGGAAGGAGAGCAGCGATCCAGTCAGCGGAGCGCGCCGGGACGCGCGGTCTACGGTGCCGTGGTTGGACGTTCACGCAGGGTGTGTGTTGCTTCTCGCCGTACCCATCTCGGAGGTGCCCGGCTGGTACACCGTGTTGGTGTACGTGACCGTACGCAGCTGCAGGTTGAGGTTCTCCAGGTGGGGGCTGCTCAGGGAGAGGCGTGACTCGCCTGACCCCTCTGCCGTCACCTCTCCCACCTCCGCCACCGTGTCCAGTACCCCCAGCTTCGCGGACAGCGTCACCTGGGTGGCGCAGACACCATTAAAAACTAAAATTAAACCATTTTGATTTTACCAGGTAAAGCCCACTGGGCTATATAGCTTTTTTTCCGCAGTGACTTGACCACAAATGATAGCTCAATGAAGTGGCTTATCACGTGGAAATGTATAGCAGCCAAATACTCTAACGCATGTTTCTCAATGTGGAGGGAAAAACCGGAGGACTCGGAGAAAAATCCACGTGACCACAGGGAGAACACTCAAATTCCAAATATACAGGCGTCAGAGTCTGGATCGAACCCACGACCTCCTGTATACCAGGCGAGGTAGTTAACATATCGCCACCGGGGCGCCCAGCATTGTGTCGACAACCTTGGTGGTCACCTCGCACAGATGCAGCTCCGTTTGCACATTTTTAAGACAATGGAAGAGCAAGACCTATCAATGTGGCCAGGTGGATCGTTGAGCTGATGCCATTTATTTTATCAGCATACTTAATAATCTACTTACTCTACTGGATATTAGATGTCAGTAAAATAAACATGTTGCTGACCTAAGTGTGTTTTTATCCATGCACTCTGGATATCTACCACATACAAAATATTAACTCAGAATTTGTCAAACATCAGCTCATCATCATCTTAAGCAATTAACTATTCACTGCTGGATAGAGTCTACAAAATGAAATTGACCCGATGTTCACGGAAAAACCACCACAGATTGTCAGAAATGTCTTTGTACAAGCATAACCATCATGAAAACAAGCCCTGAGATTCAGTGAAGCTTTATTTGGTAAAAAAACATATTTTTATAATAATCACACCATCATTTAATGCAGTTACACAACATGGATAGTTTGTAATGGTTATTATTTGCACAAATGTTACGTTACATATCAGCTATTTACAAAACAATACTCTTGAGCCCCAAAGTATGATATTGATGCATGTGTAGTGACAGGGTGCCATCTGGTGACCATGAAGGATAACTATGGGTATGGGTGAGCTATATAACAGCCAACCATAAGGGGGGCGTAACTGGGCCAAGGGTCAGAGGTGGGGATCAGCCGGGAAGCTCCTGCAACCTGCATTAGAGTTCTAGAAGGGGGGCGTGGCCAGAGGCGGGGCTTGGCCACGCTGAGGAGTATATAATAGGGAGGTAACCAGAGGTTCGTGGGTGTTCGTGGGGTTCGGGTTCTGACTGCCCTCGCTGTCTTCACCATCATCTCTTCATCGTCGTCTGGCCGTATAGCCGATCCGCTGTACGGTCCCCGTCGTCGTCGTTGCTGTATTAGTCAGCCAGCTATATACTTAGACGTCGGTGATGTGGCTGTATGAGTGGGTCAGCTATACGTAGCCCAGTGCATATGTTACTCAGTGACTCTGCCTGTAAAGTGTGAGAAATCAACAAGGAGCCCTCTACAAGTCGTGTCTCGGAAGTCGCGTATTACACATGTACTGACCTTGTATATTTCTCCTTCATTTGCATACAAACTTAACCCTATGGAAAAGAAGATAAAAGACAATTAATCAAGTAAATGTCATAAATCATTAATCGTGCTTGTAATGTGCAATTCAAAGTGAAATTTTCACATTTGAGTGTGGAATTATAGATTGACTATGGTTATGGATGAACCATCACTTCAGTTTGAAGAATTGGCATTGACCCAATTTTTGCAAAAAAAGGCATATAAGTTTTATAGATAAATCGAAATGCCATTAAATAATGGGGCAACATTATTATTGGTTCCTGGCGAGAGTCTCTTGGAAAGTAAAAATATCTATGATGGTGTGATGAAATGAAAAATATTAGGTGAATTTTAAAATACATTTCTTGTTGCAGGAAAGAAAATATAATTGGAATATAAGACCTGTTTACAAATAATTTTACCTATAAATAACCCCAAAGAGGGAAATTGCAAATCATAAAAATGTACTCGTCAAAAGTCAACATATGGTGATGTAATTGCCAACAAGAGGTGATGATTTACCTCAACGACATTAAAAGAGGGAGGGGTAGAATTAGTTTTAATGTATACTGTATATAAATATGAAATGACAACTTGACACACTTCTCTTGAGATGGCACTTTATTGAAGACACGTTAACTTGACATCAGGCGGAGATCCCACTGCAACAGCCCAGAATCTCCCACGCATCTCCCTTATATACCGACCAAGGCCACGCCCCCCTTCCCGAACCTTCTCGCTGACTCTGGACGCTCGCTCTACAGGCAGACTCTACCGTCCTCTTCCGTCACCTGACCACGTTCCGTTCTCGATCATTTCTGTAGCCACCAGTCCCTTTGTACTCACAACTGACTCCCCTGTCATTACCTCTCGTGGTCACTAGTCCACTCACATCGCATGTAAACTCTACTGTCATTACATCTATATAAGATGGAGCTTTGCAGAGGAAATATATCCAAAGCATCTCGGTTGTCAGTCCCTGGTTAAATGTGCAACTGTCTAAAACTGATAAGGTGATGGTGTGACAAGAAAGACCTTACCACTATCAGGAAAAATATACTCTCTGATTGTGTAACATTTGGGGAAAAAAACATACTACATGTAACAGTGGGAGTACTATAACATTGGGAACACCCCCTCAAGAGGGTAATTTCACCTCCTCTTCCATGCTAGCCAAGGCAACTTGGTAGAGCTGGGTCTACCCACACTTTACTCTATGAAAATGTGGCCGGCTGATCAACTGTGGTGGACAGTGCTCACTTTAACTGCACTCTTGTGCCCAGGGTGAGATTTAGTGCGTAAAAGTACTCATGCCTAAAAGGTTTTATATAGCCACTCCGATTTCCTCCCACACGAAGCAAAACAATTCATTAAGAGGAATTTGCCAAACATCCCAAACAGAGCCCTCCTGAAAGAGTCTTTAGACTCAATTACTAATCATAACCATTGACTGATTACCAATCGATTATATAATTACAATACCCCCCCCCCCCCGCCTCAAATCACTGCACCTGAATGAGTTGAATGATGACGTCACCCCTATTTAAGACCGGGAGCAAGTGAGGGCTTCACCATTCTGGCGAATTGCCCGATGATGCTGGATGTAATTACCAGCAAAACGTCGTACTACTCAAAAACTGTAAATGTTGTCGATTCACTCTTCAACACACCGGTGGGCTAATGTAGTGAACTATTTGTCTTTTGTCAACGTGACACTTTTTTGCTGATTGGCCGTGTGGGGTGTGGAGGGTTACGACACATTTATAAATAACCGCGATCTAACCCAAAAACGTTTATTATGAATCGATCAGGCTGTCTTGGATGAATAACATACATTACATAATTCAGGCAGCTTGGGAAGGCCTTAACTAAGCAATAGATCGAATATAGTTGAAGATAGCTATTGTTATAGAAGTATATGATTATAGACCTTTACAGCGGTTGGAGGTTTCCATGAAATTATGCCAGTGCTCCATACCTCTTACCCGGTATGAGAATGGTCTGCATTGGCGGCGCCTGCAACCCCTGGGTCGGGTAAGAGAGCGGCGAGTTGGGACGAGCCACCAGGATCTTCTTCGGTACAGGATCCTGCCTGTAGGGTAAAAACCGTACCTCCTTTTTTTGCACAGTTTCTGAGCACAGACCCAAAGGCATAACATTTAAAGTGGCCAGCAACAAACTCTACGAACACATATTCTTGGGTCTTTCAGTAAAGTCACGTAGATAGGTAAAAAATAACAAAAAACTACGATTTTTTTAATTTCTTGAAGACGACCGCTTGTGTTGCGATCGAAACGCCGTAGTTTTTGTTATTTTTTGTTATGTTCTTTGAACCTATCTACGTGACTTTACCGAAAGATCCAAGAATATGAATTCCTGTAGTCACGAAAGCTTTAAGTCAAGGTAATATATTCCAAACATAGTGATGTATTCACTCAACCCTACCTGTGGCAACCCACAGACTGTTGTTTTAATGATGGCAGTGATTCTTGAAAAATTTATAAAGTTCTGGAAGGATATTCATATTCTTGGTTCTTTCGGTAAAGTCACGTTGAAGGGAAACAATAAAATAATAAAATATATATAACACAATAAAATTCTCACGACGTTTCGACTGCAACACAAGCAGTCATCATCAGGTGGGAAAACCAACGGCAAGAACATTTGAAAGAAGTGGCAGTTTGTATGTATTTATTTATTTTTCAACGTT